CCCGCCCCGTCCCGCGGCACTCGGCGGCGGCGTGCGCCAAGGCGCGGCAAGGCGCGGAGCAGGATGCGCGGTGGAGGGCGCCGCGGCCCTTGCCCCGCGAGACGCCGCCCGCAGCCGCTCGGGCTGCGTCGCTCTGTCTCTCTCGCACCCGTGCGGCACGCCCCATGAGAGCGAGAGAGACAAAGCGACGAAAGCACTGTTTCGGACTCAGCCCGCAGGATGTCGTCGGCCTGCCGCCAGCCTATCGGGCGGCGGGTACGCGGGATTAGATTCGGCAGGCTTTGCCGTTTGGCATTCAATGTCACGATAGGTCGCGGAGGAGAGGACGACGGCCGCGCCAGAGGGCCGCGCCCGAGGAGCGAGCAGGATGCGATGACAAAAAATGCAGCGATCGCTACGCCGGGGTCGCGCTGCGTCGCGCTGCGTCTCCGTCTCGTCCTCGCCGAGGGGATGCAGCGTGCAGCGAATTCCCCGGCCTCGACGCGCGCCTCCTTCCCCTTTCTGCTTTTTTGCGACACGGCTGGCCGTGTATTTCGGGGAGTGTTCGGTTCGGTTCAACACTCCATCGGGGCGTTATTTACAGATCCGGCTTGGAGAGGCCGTCTGAGCCGCCGTCGGACTGATTCGGAACGTGCTCTGTCTCTCTCGCTGCCGCGCAGGACTCCCCGAGTGAGAGAGAGACAGAGAGACGAAGGCGGTGTTTCGGAGCCTCGCTGGCTGGGCCCGCTGGGCCGCGCCGCCGCAGGTCATTGGCACCGCGCCTTGTCTACGCCATCCGCATCGTGCTCCAGGATCTGCCGGCCATGGCGGCTATGGCGCGCTGGCGTCCGACTTGACGCTCGCTTTGTGCGCGACTTGGAGGTTATGTCTGTCCGTTGCCCTCCGCGTTGCCGCGCGTTGCCTGGCAACACGGCCTTTGGGCACGGCCAAGGGCTTGAGCGGCTTGAGCGGCTTGGGCCTCGCCGGCCCTGCCACAGCGGCCAGGGTCAGGAACCGAAGGAACCGGCACTGAGCAGTGGCGGAGCGGCGGCACGTCCCGGCAGTCCCGGCCCATCCCGGCCCAAACCGGTCAAGTCGCCGGCCCGGCTGGGCTCTACTTCCACTGTCTGCGCTCGGCTCGCACGCGGGGCACGCGGGGCACGCAGGGCAAGGCGCATGCTGGCGGTCAGGACCTGTCAGGACGGCAGGGCTCCGCGTTCGGGCCGCGTCGTTGACGGCGGCGGCCCTCCTAGCGGTGTAGTGGTGTAGGGCGGCGCTCGGCCGCCTTGGCTGGCGAGAGCGCCTGGAGGGCACGCAACCCGCCGCGAGCCGCCGTGCGACGGGCCTGCATCGCCGCGCCGTTGTCGTTTCGTCGCTCCATCTCTGTCGCACTCATGGGGCTCCTCATGAGGGTGCGAGGGAGACAGCCGTACTTCTGAATCACTCGGCTGGCGGACCCTGGACGGCTGCCCGGGGTAAGGGCGCTTCCCACGACGCCACCGGTCAAGCCACCGGCAGGGACGGCACAGCACGCCAAAGGCAGGCCAAAGGCAGGCCAAAGGCTGAACGCAGGCCGGCAGGACTGGCAGGAGCGTCTAGATTATACACGGGTAATTGGCAGATTAACGCGCTCGTCTCTCCTTCACTAAATGCATAATTTAAGCGGGGCGGGCGGAGAGGCCTCGCACGGGGCGAAAGCGGCAAAGCGGCGCGGCTGCCTTTCGCCTTTTGACTGCCTTTGCCTTCTCACCGCCTTTCGACACTGCACCGGGCACCGCGCCGAGTGAACCGAGGAACCGAGCCGGCCGCCGCCGTCGGGGGAAGGAGCAGGGGAGGGGGCGGCTGGCTGGCTGTTGCAGACAAAAATGCACCGGGCTGGTTGTTGCCGGTTCGAGAGAAATATGCCTGCAATGTCCGGGGGGCTCCCCTGGCATCCGGTCGGCGAAGGGCCCCGGCCCGGCCAAGGGCCCGGCCAGGCACTGCGCACTGCAGTCTGCTTGTCGCGAAGCGCGACGCGCACGGCCCTGCCGCTGGCCGCCTCGCCAAGCGGCCACGCGGGGACTGGCAGTCCCGACTGGGACTCGAACCCGGGGCCTTGAAATGTTTCCAGTCCGACCTTGGTTGGGCCTGGCCAGTGGCCCGGTGCCGGATGCGCCCACAGCGACGAGTAGGACCAGCGGCAACCGGTTGGGCCGCGCGCCGGCCGCCGTCGTGCACTCCGTCGAGTAGGTGGTGCCTCAACGACCTCATCGCGGCGCATCCGGGCAGCAGAGCAGGCACACGTACTTCATGCTCGCTCGGGCGCCTTGCCGGGCGTCACCGCGGCGGGGTGGGGTAGGTAGGGCCTGGATTGAGAGGCGACGCGGCGTGCGCGGTACGTACGCGGCGTGGGCCAGAAGACCGGAGGAGGCGGCTAAAACTCTAGACGCGTTTCGAGCTCCAGAGTCGCTAAATAGGCCTCGAACTGAACCTGTGACCCCACCAATGGATTGCTCTCCGAACGAGGAATCCATTGGTGGGGTCACACGTTCGGTTCGAGTCCCATTTAGCGACTCTGGAGCTCAAAACGCGTCTAGAGTTTCGGCCGCCTCCAACGGTCTTTTGGCCCACTGTGCGCGGTGCGCGGGGCCGGGGGGCCGCCAGCAAATGGGCTGGGCAGGGCACTGGGCAGCCCTGGAGCGGGCCGGGAACTCGGCGGGCTGGGCCGTCTTCATGGGCGGCACTTTAGTGCCGAGCCCGCTGTGCCCGCTGTGCCCGTGCCGCACTTCCAGGAACACGCTCGCCGCTCGCCTCTGCAGCAATGTTTATCTTGCGCACACCAGTGCCGCCATGCCGCCACTGCCCGTAGAGGCGGCGCGAGGCGTTGCGAGCTCCACTTTTCGGAGTCGCGAACTAAAACTGGGACGCGCATAGTGTGGCAGAAGACGCGCCGCGCCGACGCGGTGCCAGAACAAGAAGCAGCAGCAAGCAGCAGCGGCACCACAGGCCATAGACCGCCGCGCCACCAAGTCGACCAAGTCCACGAAGCGACAAGCCGACAAGCGCACCGCCCTGGCACCGCCCCTCCCCTCCCCTCCTCCTCTATCAGCGTCCCGTTTCCGGTCTTTCGGGCGCACGTTCGTATCACGTGACTCCGACTCGGCGCGACGCCGCTGGAACCCTGGAACCACCTGGAACGCACCGTCGGTCGACCAGCCTAGCGGCGGTCATGCGCCGCGCGAAGGGAGTGGGGGGTGCGCCAAACTTGGCAAACATTAGAATTTTGGCTGGTTTCTCGTAACGCGAGCCGCAAGGCGCGGAGGAGGTCACGACAAACGCAAAAGTCTCTCCTAATTGGTGAAGTTCGGGAACTTGAGTTTTTGTAAACAGGCGCACTTCCTGTCGACAAGTATCCCCGCAGTGGCACACCTTAGTGGACTGTTCATCAACCACGTCACCACTGTGGGGCACTGAAAAGGGATTCGTAGTGGGGCTGCTAGCCAAGAAGTGGAGTGTTTCTGCCCTAGTCCCTTGCCCCTAGCATGCAGCCAGACGGAATTTCCTGGTGCGACTTGGTGCGACACTGGAAGGCGACACGTCGGCGGCGCGTTCATCGGGGACTCCGGCGGCCGGCGCCACTCCACCAAGTGATTCATGCAGCAGTGAGTCACGTCGCGGCGCTCGCAGCTCGCGGTGCGGCCCGTGACTCAGTACGTTAAACGTAGACTGATTCCGCTCATCGTTCCGCTGCTCTGCCTCTCTCGCACCCCCACGGGACGCCGCGTGAGTGCGAGAGAGACAGCGCGTCGGCAGCGATGTGCAGCATCGCTCTGGCAGCCGGCGACACGGCCTGGACGAGCTGCTTGCGGCGCGGCGCGTGTTTTGGAGGCTGTGTTGAGGTTTGTGCCGCGTTGAGTCGCGCGAGGTCGGTTCGGAGGCGTTGCGCAACAGGGCTGGAGCGGCCTGTCGAGCCGACGACGACGGGGGCGATAGTAACCTACTTCTGGAAAATGCTGATCCGGGAGCGAAAATGTGTCGCCAGCCCGCCGCAAACTGGGACGTAGCCGGGCAGCCCCGGGGAAGGCCCGAGCACGTCCCTGTTTGTGTTGTTTGTGGCTACACCCCAAAGCGCCACTCCGCTCCGGGGGAAGGGGGAGGAGGAGAGCGGGGTTGGGCCTCCTAGAAGGTAGGCAACAGTTTCACCCAACTTCTCAAAGCGCTCCATTCCCCGCTTTAGAGTAGTCAAACCGGCATGTAGCTCGGCACCGGCCACTAGTACTCCTGCGGCTCAGACCGCTGAGACGGAGACGCCCTCGGCCCCTCCGGGCTGTTGGACTCCGGTATGGATTTTTCGCGAAACGGAACGAGGCGATGGTGGATGCGCCAGAACGGCACGGCAAGCCTGGCAAGCCGTATGAGTAAACCGAGGCAGCGACTGCGATCCCAGCGGCCGGGCCGCGGCCACAGAGCTGGGCCGCTAGGCCTGGCCCGGCCCGCCTCGCCGCGCCTCGCCATCCACGTCACGCCAACGCTCCATGTGACTCGGGGACGGGGACGCCGCCATAGCCAGCCTCCATGGCGCCTCACTACCGCCCCATCCCACGTGACCGCCATCGCCAAGGAGTGCGTACGTGTGCGGTCTAGTGTCAGCCGGTCGCGGCGCCCCCGACGACTCGTTTGAACCTCTTTCGCACCCCCGCGGAACGCCCAACGCCCCATGAGTGCGACAGAGACACAGCGACCAAATGAGTCCCTGGAATGAGCCTGCTGGCCCTGCTGGCAGCGCCTCGCTCCAAGCTCCAAGGGACCTTTGCCTTGGCGTCGCCGCGGTGCTTTGCGGACGGCCCCGCCACGCCGCCACGCCCCGCCTCCACGCCGGGATTCACCTTTCTCTCACCTCCGCCACTCCGCCACACTGCACGACAAAGGAGAGCCACGGCGTGGCGGGCGGAGCGTTGCCACGCCAAACGTTTTTATGGCAGCAGCGCGGCCCGTTTTGCTAGTGACGACACAGTGGATTCAGGGTGTAAAGAAATCCGAGAAAACAAAGAATTCATTTATTTTATTTATTTTACTATGACAAGGCAATTTGAAAAGCTCTTTTAATTTGCTCCAACAGCTGTTGCTTTTTCTTTTCTGTTTGGACTTTCTTTAGTTTCAGGTTCAATTTGCTGACTAAGTTCTTGAGTAACAACCATTGCTGTTCACCAAGTGAGCGTGTTAATGAACGCTTTCTAGTTTCACTTAGCAAAAGTGCGTCAACATCATTTTGAGACTTAATGGATGATATTGCACTCATTTTATTTTCACCCTTGCTTGCCTTTTTCTTCAACTTCTTTGGTGGATTATTGTCCATTTCACTTTGCACATCTTTAACCATCTTTTTCTGCTTTAAGGTTTTGGGGCTTTTCCCAACTGATTTATCTTTGATTTCCCCTTGAGAAGTAATGGCAGAAGTCAGAATGGAATTCGATTCACGGCTCATTGACACTGTGGAAATATACACAATTAGTTTACAATTTATTCTTTAATCCTAAAATTAATTTTAATTTTATGATGAAATTTGCATGCAAACCTCGAGCATCAAAATGACTTTCAGGTATTTTCTTGTTGTGACTTATGGCAGTAATTTTGTTCCCAATTTTCTTTTGAGAAGTCAATGCAGATGATGATGAAAATGGATTTGATGAAGAGCTTATTGACACTGCAAAAAGAAAAAGGAACAAAAAAATCAGATTATGTTAAATGGTTAAGAGATTTTCTGACCAAATTTGCATACAAACCTCCAACATCATCATGACTTTTTAGTTTTAGCTTTTTAGAACTTTTAGGCGGTATTTCATTTTTAAGTATCTTTTCAGAAGTCACAGAAGATGATGAGATTGGAAATGAGGCACGACTAAGTGATACTGGGGAAGGGAGCACAAACATATTTACTTAGTAAAGTATACCTGACTCGAGTATACAAGAATGTTTCAGGCCAAATTTGAATACAAACCCCCAACATCATCATGGATTGATGCTATTTTCGAATGTATGTGTCCAGAAAAAACTGCTGGCTCTGGATTTATGCTGGCATTAAAATTTCCATAACTTTGAGCATCTAAATTCTCATAGCTGAAAGCAACAAAAAAGTAGCAAATTTTAAGTAAAGGAAAGAAAATTGAGTGTAATAATAAGAAAAATTAAATCTACCTCTCATTGTGTGATTCAATGGTACCCATCCATGGCAGAGAGAGCCACTTTGTGAGATCAAGTGGGAACACATAGCTTTCTGAAAGCCACAATGGGCCTTTTGATTGAAACTTATTTAAATATGGAAGCATTACAGCATACCAATCAATACAAGAATTCAACAAATGCTTCGTCAATGACCTACAAATAAGGAATAATTTTTTGAAAGTACATACATTAATAAATGATTAGAAATCATTTCATTTTCACTCACCAAATGCGGCTTACAGCACTCAAACAGAGCAAAGCCACCGGCCAGTGGTGGCCTAAGTTCATTCGGCCTTTCAAGAAGGATGCCGCTTCTAAACATGTGTGTACAATTCTCGATAACAATGCAGCAAATCCTTGAGTGCGTATGAGAACATATTCTAACATTTGACGGGTTGGACAAAAGATTTCCTTGTCTGAACAATCCCACGGCACAGTGCGAAAAAAATTCTCATATACAGAAACAAGGTTTATTGCAAGAAAGTTGCGCAAACACTGATGTACCTGTATTTTTTCAAAAACAATACAATTAATCAGCACTTTTATAAATCACAAGCATCTAGGCAATCATGTCAGTATTTTTATACAATAGGGACATTGGCGCACCTTTTGTATTGATTTATATCCTTTGTCACCTCGAAACATGGATCTCACTCGGTGGATAAGACGGGATAGTGTGGCAGCCTCTGAGCATAATGTCTCTTGATTTTTTAGCAATGTAAGCGCATTCCAGCACGTGTCCGATAGCTTCCTCAGATCTGAAAATGCTGTAACAAGCCGTGTCCATAATAATTCTTCCTCTTAAAATGTTGAGATGAAAGAGGTAAAAAAATATTTTATTTACTCACAGACTTGAGAAGGTGTAACTTTGCTAGTTAAATTTGGTGGTGGCTTCAAGTCTAGTTCATTCCAAGAAGCCATGATGTGAATACGTAATGTCGTTTCTGGACAGTGGTAGAAAATAAATCATTGAGTCGAAATACACTGTCAGAGCTTAATTTTCGTATTTCCGTATAGAATGTGAACCACAACAAAGCAACCACACTTTTAGCGAGGTTATGACTCCAATGCAGGGATGGCAACCTATCATAGTGAAAACAATAGAATATCTCTTAAAAACATTTCAAAATCTTACATTGAATGATATCGTTATTTTACAATGTTAAAATAAACCATCTCGAATAAAATGACCAATTTTAATTGTTTTCCCCAGCCGATCGCTAACGATTAAATCCTTTTAACTTTCCACACGCAGTGCACTGCGAATAAGGCTCAAACTCGCGTTTTGATTGGTCGACGCCTGTCTGATTTCAGCCAGTCATCCTTATTTACACTTAAGTCTTGTCGTCGTAAGTTTGGATTGAAATAGCAGAAGAAAGCAGGAATATGTCATGACTGGCTCGGACCCTGAACCTTGGGTGTCGGCAAGGCCGATGTTTTACAGCTAATTATTTAAACCTTTGGTGTTTTCTGTCGTGTCAACGTATCAAGGCCCTAACATGCAGCCTCCAATGAAGCCATGGGAAAGCGGCCCTTTAAATCGTTTTGCGCCTCAGTCTAATTCATTAAGCCACCGAACTGTTTTACCTGGGTATGTAGTTTTTTTTTATGATTGATTTTTTTTAAAGCTAATCAACACAACCTAACGAATTGATATGTCGTGAGTTAGTTTTAATCTAACCTTATCATGGGGCATTTGACCCATGTATCTTTGATGCATGATCCTTTAAGATTATGTCAAAGTGGATTCATAATAATTTATTTCGGCTCAAAAGCTAGTGGTTTTGCTTTATCATATGCAACCTTGTTTAACGGATGTAATCAAATTCAACTTGCATGGCTCTATGCATGTGATTTTAAGTCTTATTTGTTCTGTTTTACAGACGTTCTCCTGTTATGCATAGCTCATCGCCGAACATTCCCATAGGGAGCACTCCACTTATGCAGGCTTCCACCAGTGCTCATCGCCCTCCTCCTCCACCAAGAAGAGCACATGGTCCCTCAAGTATTAATCAATCTGCAGCTCTTAGGTGAAAACATTGTCATTTATGTTACTGTTTACCTTATATTTTAGCGCAATTATATTTTTACGATGCTTTTTATATTTTCAGATCACGAATACCTATGCCACTCGCAAGCAACTCATATGGAGGACTGACAGGGGGCTATGGTAGTTACGGAAGCTATGGAGGATATGGAGGTGGTTATGGAGGCTACGGCGGATATGGCAGCTATGGGAATTATGGAAGTTACGGTGGTTATGGTGGTTTAGGCTCTTATGGTTTAGGTGGATACGGTGGATTTAGCTCTTACCCTGGGAGTGGTATGAATAGATATGGGGTACCCAATCCTCACGATCCAGAAACTAGGTTCATTCAGTTAGCTGAAGAAAGCTCCAGACCGGCATTCCAGTCCATTGAATCACTTGTTCAAGCTTTCCATTCCGTTAGCATGATGTTAGATTCAACATTCAATGCTGTTTATACATCATTCCGAGCTGTTCTGGGTGTTGCTGAAAATTTTGGCCGCCTGAGATCCCTACTTGGACAGTTCTTCTCTTCTATTGCTTTATTTAGAGCATTTATATGGTTGTACAAAAAAGTTCTCTATTTACTGGGTAAGTATTATCAAAAGGAGGTTTTCCTATTCATTATTGGCTACAATTGACTTCTTGTATTTACATTTGTCATTATTTTACTTAAGGACTACGCCGTGAAAATCCAAGTCAGGATCAACTCTGGCAAGCAGCTGTCCAAGCTGCTGGTGAAGACTTAGCCACTGCTACTGGTCGACCAAGATCCTCATGGCCTATCCTTATGTTTATGGGCATTGTTTTCAGTGGGCCCTATCTTATTTTCAAACTCATGAGCTCTCTAAGCACAACTCCTGAAGCCACTGACACACGTTAGTTTTCATGCAGTAGGCTGCGGTGAACAAATTTATGTCATGAAATAATACAAATATAGTCTCAAGTCATCCTTTACTGTCTCCTCAGCTCCTAGAAGTGCATCATGGAACCCAGAACAGGCGCCTGGCACAACAGCCACTGCCTTATATGGCTTTTCTGCTCAGTCTGAGGAGGAATTAAGTTTCTACGCAGGACAGCGTATCACTATTGCTCCACTTTCTTTCCAAAGGAAAGAACTACAAGGTAGGTTCATAAATAGTATATTGTGAATTGTGTCTGATCAGAAGGAAATGTAGTGTTCAGTTCATTGCCTATTATTATGATTTCCCTGTTACAGGCTGGCTTCTTGCGCAAGTTGAGGGAAGTCCACAAATTGGTCTGGTTCCTTTTAATTACTTGACAGCAGGCACTCAACAAACCACAGGTAGAATGTTCATTGCACAATCACATATGTGCTAAATGCTATATATTTTACGAATCCCTTTATACTGTTTCAGCAGCATCCATACCGGTGGTCCAAAATGAAGAAGCAACAGTTAACCCCAGTGCCAACCAAAGTTCACTTCAAAATTCCAATCCCTCAGCTTCAGGTGAAGATTTGACAGGCAACCAAACTGATGCTCCCAGTCCGCTGGACTCCACACCATCTTTGCCCCAAGAACCCAGCCAAGAGTGACTCCTGATCTCGTACCTTACCTAACTATATTTACTGAATTGTCTTGTTAAGTCCTAAATGATTGATTAAACATGATTTGATCATGTTAAGCTGGGCAGTTTGTGCAACATTCTTCGTACTGCTGGTTGCTTACATAATAAATATAGTATTGTGTCAAAGAATATAGGACATGTGGGGAGGGAAATTTTATGGTATGAAATGGAGATGCTGTGGTGAATTATACTTTTTATTTTTTTACAAAGTTATTAGAGTTTCCTTTTACATTTATGGTACTTCACAGTATTAGTGTAGCGAGCAGAATGACATGTGAATACTTGACTATAAACCCATGGTTTAAAAACAATATTTCACATTACGAAATATACACACAGGTTTATATGTAAAAAGTTAAACATCTGTTAAGATCTAAAATGTTAGGTCCAAAAATATAAATAAACTAGTAGCAAAGCACATCATCTGAGTAAAAAATGTCTTTTCTAAAGTACATCCTGGTAAAATGGGTAGTACAACTAGCCATTCTGAGAAAGGAGCACACTTCCTCACTGGCCAACTAAGTACGAAATTCGACAACTGTTCAACAAGGTAACATTAATGGAAGAAAATAAACCCTGAGTGAGGGGCAGTGTTTGACTAGGTCTGCTATCTCATATTTTCAGATATAAAAAAATTCAGCTGTTGCAAGCAGACCTAGCAAGTATTCTCATGAGCATCATCCACTTTGACATAGTGAAAATATAAGTAAAACAAAAGGGAAAAAAACAATAACACACACACATTCACTCTTTAAGGATTATTCAACATGCAACTTGTAAAATATATAAATATGTTAATAAAATTTTATTCAGTATATATTTCTTTCCTATCATTCCTTGACTGCATCGCACCTTTCTCTGCTACTCATCAAAAAGAAGAAAAAAAGATCAACAGAAACCGGACTTATAGTTCCGAATGATCCAAGCACTACATTCTATATTATACCATCACCCTTAATCCCAAAACACAAATGGTGGATATGGAATCTAAATTCTACAAACAAGCATATCACAAGCAATGCATAATGGACGTTGGTTGCAAGAAAGGTGTAGCAATGATGCAGTCAAGAAAAACAAAAGCTTCCTTTCAAACACCTGTATGCTTTATTTTGCACACTTATCCATCTATCAAGGTATCGGGAGTGAAACTACCACATGGTAGGATTTCACAGAGACTACTAAAGAATGTGATTGGTTCTATTAAGACAGTAACGTCTGCAAGCCATCAACTTCTAGATCACCAACAATAATAAAGCAAGAAGAAATATGTTCATGGCTTTATTTAACGAACATAAACAGATCCCTTGATAACACTTACACCATCACAAATGTTAATGTACAAGTGAAGGATTCGCTGATAATGTCAATTCAACAAATAATGTTAGATATAAAAAAACAAACATGGTCTATAGGTATTTCATCCCCTGTAGAAAACTTAGGTTCAATCGTAAGTTTAGGAGGCTAAGCAAATCACACTAGGTCAGGGTGCTTTTGTCCTCCTTTGTTTAGGTAAAGATAAAAACACAGAATTAAAATAAAGATTTTCATCATGCCACAAAAATATTTACCCGTCACATTAAAACAAAACATTGATGCAATGTAATCTCTTCAGACCAACTACTCAGAGGCTCATTTTTTTGTTAAATATAAAACATCAAGTTTGTCAGAATGTAATTCAAGGAGGACAAGATAATATGATAAAGAAAAGAATTCTTGGCTTCAAAATGGCAGAAACACAATTACAACTGAATCAGTTTCAATAAATTTAAAGAATGCGTATGACACAAAAAAGAGAAGCATTCGATAGTGCGGGAACTGATGATAGTATTAATGCAATAATCACATTGAAACCACTACCCCCACAGTTTCTAGGCCTGAAGTAGACTACACAAAGTAGGTTAACATTTACTCTGGAAAGTGGGGCATTGCCTAACTTGTGTAAAACATACAGTCAAAACAGACCATTTCATTACAAGTTCACTTTACGCTGAAGCCTGCAGAAGTGATAAATTATTACAATATCATACAAGATGAATAAGTACAGGTAACCACTGACAATGAAAACTACATGGCGAGGATTAACTCTAGGTCATAACAGGAAAGGAAATGTTACACAAAATAACCAATCAGATATTCTATTAGGTCATACTATAACCGAAAAGGAAATGTTACACAAAATAGCAAAGCAGAAATTCTACAAGACACTAAGTAGAGGCACTATTTGCCATGAATACAATTTCATTGATATATTTTCAAAGTCATACAACAAGAGAGAGAGAGAGAGATTTCTAAACATGAACAAAATAGAATAAAAATTGGTCAATGGAGCATATAAATTTCTTGAATTAATGTAAAGTACATAAATATAAATATATATATTAAAGAGGTAAATATTAATATCCACTGTCCACTTTTTATTCATCATCAGCATGTCGTCAGTATTGCTTTGGGAAAACAATAAAAGCCCCTGCCATGGAATGATTAAGTACACCAGTTTAGTATTATCAGTAGTATCAAAATAACTTGGCTACCCAAGAGCAGTCAAATATATCACAAGTAAATTTCTTATTACAGGATCGGATAAAAAGTTTACACTATGGTGAAACCAAGCCATAGAATGATTAAGACACAACCCATATTAGCTGCACTTTCTTACAATACAACTTCCATGGAGTGCGAAAGCACTGAAAGACAGAAATATTAAAACTGATGAAACAGAATATTATTATTAATATTCAGCACCACCTCATTCATCACAGGGCAAACATTATGGATAAAGAAAGGCACCCACATACGCAGTCTTGGCAATTGTTATGGTCAAGTAGGAAATTTGAGAAGTGTCCTACTGTTGAATACTAGGAAAATACAAAGACAATTTTGACCATGGAAGTTAAAATGTAAACAAATACATCTCAAGAGTAAGAAACCAGAAAAACAACAAAAAAAAACAAAAAAAAACACATGTACATTAAAATGATGTCAGATGCATTGCAGTCAGGTTACATAATTAAAAAGATAAGATTATCACTTCTTAAAAAGAAATAAGTCAGACCATTGTAATGCTAAAATTACAACATTAAGCTCAAAATAAGTTTCAGAGGAGCTGGGTTCAAAGGTTTCATTCGATGTTCAAACCAACTAAGGTGCAATCGTCAAGGCATGTCACATGTAGTATAAAAGCAGTAAATCAAGAAAAAAAACAGTGGTTTGATCAACATCTAAATACTGATAAAAGCAAGATAACCATTATTGATAATGAGTTACTGATAAGAATAAAATCAGATTTATATTACAGTTCTGATGAGATGAAGATGTGCTATGTAGTCATGTCCATTTCCAAGTCTTCGACAGGGGCTAGAGGGGCCTTCTGCGAATTAATCTGTAAACATGAAATAAAAATATAATTTTATAGCATCGTTAATTTTTCTCTTAAAACAAGATGAGATAAATATGAAGGAAATGGACAAATGTGTTACAAAGACAGGTGGGAACAAAGAGAATTGACAGAAAAGTTCCAAATGAGAACATCATAAGATACATGCGTTGAGAAGCAGCAAACATTTGCTCACAGTGCAACCAATGTTCATAGAAGGCATTTTGAATCACTGCTATGCTCACTAGGCGCCAATGAGTAAGGCCACTCCAAACTGGATGACATAGGAATAATAACAAGAAAAAGTAATAACATGCATTATCAGTATTGTACAGGACTACATGAGTAAGATCTAGATTTGCCTTTGTTTAACTGTTATCTAGGAGTATTTAACAGACAAAACAGAATGCAGAAGAATCTGGATGAGTATTATGAAAGAAGCTATTTACTTTGGGCAAGGGAAAGTGAAACATCTAACCTTGTGAGCATATCTTTCAAAAGCTGCAAAGGGCTCCGCGAAGTTGCCTAGCATGGAAACAAGTAAATATTGATAATCATTGAGACAGAAATTAAAGATATTTGAGACTCAGCACATAAAAGAAAACAAAATCAAGACAATGAGTTTCACCAACAAGATTGCTACAAGGATCTGACCAAATCTTTAACAGGGATGGAAAACATTATCATATTCAGTCAGGAACATGTGGCAGAAGATTCCAAGCAAGAGAGTCCATGCATCAGCTTACTTACATTAAAAAGGTGTGTATGGAAGGTGTGTTGCTAGATTCACAGTCTGATTTAATTTCTCTAACTTAGTCATGCAAGAATCAGAAACTAAGACAAATTTACTCACTTTCCACAACAGTTGGTGAGGCATTGTTGGTACTTTCCTCGCTGTTGATAATCGTGGTAGTTGATTTGATTATCACAGATTCGGATAGAGTGGTGCTGTTCTTCACTTCCATTTTCTCAGATGTCACTCGACTCTCCTCCAGTGTGGAACAATTTCTGCACAAGCGAAGCCCCAACACAATAAGCACATATGTCACAAGCGACAGAGAGCAAAGCACAAACAAGAACACTGAATGCCGGAACAAAAAAATCAGTGCATCAAGTTAAATGTTTACATCATGAATAAAAATGGATAATTCTTTTAAATCTAATTAAAAAACAAACAAACATCAAAATAGCCTGGTATGGTATGCAATATGTACTCATGCAGCAGTAAAAATGAAACAAAAGGACAGTAAAATTTGATAGCTTTTGCTAAAAATTACTAAATAATGTTCCAGTATTACAAATTACTATTAAAATGAAAAACACAAAGCTTAGTTTGATGACTAAAGAGAACTGAAAGTTTCAGGAGCGATCATTTCAGAATCACGCTTTAGCTTAAGAGCTGCAGATTACATCTGAATATTTAAGTATAATTATGGAGCACAATGACTTAGTCACAAACTTACATCAAATGGTCCTTGACAGAATCAATGGTGATGTCTCCCATGCTGATCTCCAATCGCTCCTCTTCAGAAGACACTCCATTTTCCTTTGGCTCATCATTGCTATTGCTACTCACTTCTGCAAGGCAAGCCACACCACTACTGAGCAAAGCGCACAAGCAAACACGTGCATTTCATTTTCAACCTTTTATAGAGGTTCAGTGTTTTCCCTTTGAGACTAGATATCAAACTGATTTGTTGTTATTAAAGCACTGCTTCTGAAGATTTGTATTGATTTTTATGAGGTTAATGACATGAAGTTCCCAGACGTGAACAAGAAAAATGTTATCACAAACACAAAGAAGCAAGTAAAGCTGCTATAAAATATATAAAGAGGGCAACCCTTTAAAATAAAAATATAAGAAGCATGAGGAAATAATGCTTGCTTTACCATATTCTAAAAAGCAACTTTTCTAAATTTTACCCACGTTAAAATGCCTTGAGGTCAGGGGCACAAGATGAAAAAAATACAAGAAACAGTTACACAGGGCATTTTAAACACCCACAAATCTTAAAAAACACGGAAGTCACACCCCATAAATTCACTTGAAACAGCAAGTAGCGTGCATGTTAAGCTCAAAGAAACTTACCCTTCTTGCAAGCTGATTCAGCATCGCCATTCACAAGGGGTGTGGGAGTTGTGATAGACCTAGGAGCAGGTGATGGTGGCCCAGAGATTTTCTTTTCTTCTTTTTTATCTGGAGAGCTCTCAACTTTCACCTCACTGTCTTGTTTAACAACCACTTCTACTTCTGTGGTTTCTGCCTCAACTTCACCTTCCTATTGAAAAGAAACAAAGAAACAGTTCTTATGTAACACATCACACTGGTAAAAAACTCAGAAAAAATTATGGTAAAATTTAACAAAAAAAAAAGCAGTTAAAATTAAGTACATGAGGCAGTTCAGTAATGGGACTGGTGGTATGGTAGGGATTTTGAGGCAAACAAAACTGATTTCAACTGGCACTGTAAAAGGGTCTACCTTTGGTGATTCCTCTTCACTTCCTTCCTCTGCCTCCTCTTCCTCCTCTTCTTCCTCTTCTGCTTCAGCTTCTACTTCTCTCCCAGGTCTGACCCCAGGAGGAAGCTCAAGATGGCAATGAGCTTGAGTGATATGTTGAGCTGATAGAGACACCCTTTGAAGTTCGCTGGATGAATGCAGGTACAACGCCTCTCCATGTTTAGTGAAACAGAGACTGGAGATACCACTGTGACAGTGAAGTCAAGATACAATTATGTAAGTAACCTTTGTAGAAGCTTCAACCAAACCAAATCTTGGCATATTTACTTACTGAACATCCTCACGTCTAATAACAGCAGCATTAAGCTGCCTTCGTAAGTCAGGTGTAGATAAGACGATGCAATCACCAAGGTTTGTAAGACACACCAGGCACCACTCTGAGTGCTGAGGATTTGCTGATGAAACAGACTTAAACAAAGCCATGGCTGTGCGCCGAACTCGACTCCCTTCATGAGCAGTGAGCTTTAGTTTACATAATGGCTTCAGACTTGGCAGTGTGAACATCTGCAAGGCAATTATGAGGAAGAATACAAGATTACCACACAATTGTTAAAAAGTGTCAGTCAAGACAAGAAAACCTAAACACCTTGAATTGTTCCTCTGAAGAGATGATGACTCTGTGAGGACCAACTGGATCGGGTCCTTTCTGAAGTGGCTCAGGCAGTGGAACACCAGCAGAATCAACAATTGAAATACCAATTACAGGGGCCCTGTGTTTCAATTGAATTTCTTTGCCTATGACAAAAAGAAATTAAGGTTAAAATGCACTGAAGCACTCCGAGAGAAATTAGTTTTAAGATCAAAGCAAAATCAGCAGAATGAACAACTTACCAAGCTGACACTGCACTCCATCATCCTTTCTTTTGGCACCTTGGGGAATGGACAATGTGAAAACATAAACAGTTCCATTGTTGGTGCCCGCCCACATGGTAGGAGTTGTGTTTTGAACACTGATAATAAATGTGCGTGCAAGGTACACACACCTAACCATGCTTCCTTGACCATCATCCACCGGTCTTGCTTCAACTTGGCGCTCAATAGGCTTGGGCTCTAAAGTTCCAGTTGTAGCATCAGTAGCTCTACAAAAATTAATGTTCAACCAAAACTATTTAATATACAAAAACCTGAGAGAAAAAGGTACAAAGAAACCAAACAAACATTCACCCTTCTTTCCTTCTGTCTGGTCCAGCAGGAGACGTTGGAGACGTGACACCCGATGTGGCACCACCTCTCTTCTCTCCATGGCGTGTGGACCTGCCCTTGCGCAGTCGTCTGAATGATTCACGGAGTGACTTCTTGAAAGATTTGCGTCTTGAGATAGCTTGCTCTCCGGCACCAGACAGATCTACAGATGGTTATCAGGCAGTTGAACAACAGTTAAAATACTACAGAACAATAAAATGGGATGAGAAAGGTACAGTAGAGTCAACTTACCGTTAGGGTTCAGAGTGCATTTTGTGATGACCGGCTTACTCCTAATGTAATCAAATAGAGCCAAACCATGGGCTGTGCCCGCCACAATCAGCCCCCAATCTGAATGAAGCATAAGTGCAGTGACAGCAACAGGTGGATGCAGCTGCATAACTGCTGTTGGCTGGAAGCCAGCTGGTATTTTAACTTTGTTTTCATGGGCAGCAAGGTGGCTGTGTCCTTTCCACACAAATCCATCTCGGTCAGAAACAATATTCATAACAGTTACCTGGGAAAACAGTATAGAATTGAAAGCAAAAGTCACCAGATCATTTTTAATTAAGCACCTAAAATAAAATGTCAAAAACATACAGGAATTTCCTCTTCCTTGGCCTCTTGCTTTAGCTCTGCAATAATGATATGGCCAGCCGTGCCTGCCACAACCAAAACACCAGAAACAGGGCAAAGCGATAATTTCTTCACCGCTAGCCGAGGGTCATCTGAATATGGATCAAAAAACCCAACCTAGGGGGGAAAAAAGAAGTAAGATTACTTATCAATGACCGAGTAGAGTCAAAGGGAAAAATAAAACAAACCTTTTTAAATGGAGGCCATCCATTGTCCTCATCATCATCTGCATGATTATCAAGAGCAATGTCATCACTATGAAAAAAGTTGGAAGTGGTCAGCTTGTAGAGGGGTCGAAGCGCCACACCACCAGCAGCCCAGAAGCGAACTGACCCATCTTCATGACCAGTCAGGAGCAGATCTCGAGCTTCAACTTTCTCATTCGTAACAACGCCACCGTCAATCGGCCATGTCTAAAAAAAAAAAACCAACCAAGTGCTTTGTCATGAACAGCAACATTACCATAGATCAACACAAAATACAAGTAAAAATTACAGTACCTTTGAAGAAAACTGGCCCTCCATTTGTTTCTGACCACAAGCCTCAATTTTGGCCCACAATTCTGGGGATACGTCTGAAACATACTGACTGCAAGTGACCGATGAAGCATGAACTGAGACAAGGTAAGGCAAATTAATCTGAAGCCAATCATCTCCCTGCAAATCTATTGCAACAATCTCCTCCTCAGCAAGGACAATTAGAGCCTCTGGACCTGTTGCATCTGAAAGGTGAGAAATTAGAAAAAAAAAAGTTATACCAATATTTAAACAAGAAAAAGAAATTTTTTTTTAAAAAAAAAAAAGCCTGGTGGGTTTATCACTACAAAAATCACTCATAATACCTTCTCTGGGGCTGACGGTAAAGAAATCAACAATCTTGGAAGTGAAATCAAAAACCACAATTTTTTCTCCTTGGCTGACAGTGATACAATAACGATCAGAATGGGTTGCTCGCTGCAGACCGCCAGAAAAAATGACCATGTCCTCCCTGTGTTAAGAATAAAATAATCATTGATCTATCTGGATATAGAGCCACAAGTTAGTGAAATGCAGGAAGCATAAACTTGCCCTTCAGCTTTCCTCCACAACAATTTGGTCATAGCTTTACAAGGGAAAGGCCCATGAGGGGAAATGGGATCCTTGGGCGGGTCGGGTCCTTTGGGTACATTAAAAATAGCATAGCTTCCATCATTGTGTGAAGAGGCAAACTTTGTTCCAGTTTCGTGCCAGCAAATGCTTTCAAGATCTTGGCTGCTGACAAATGTCTGAAAAATATGAATGTATTGAAGGAAACGGGAATATTGATGCAGAAGAGGAAATAAAATAAAGCATGTCTATTTTCCCTTAAATTACCTGTTCTACGCTTGACGTTTCACGGTTCCACAACACCATTAGCCCACGGTTGTAGCCAATCAAAATGTTGTCAGGGTTTTCTGGCTGTTCTGCTATAGCTTCCACAGCTCCAGGATTTATCTTAAAATCCTCCGCAATTCTGGAAACATTGCATATTACAAAGAGTGCATAGGAGCTGGCATTGAGAGTAAATCTTATTTAAGAACTAAGGGGAAACTAACTTTTGGAGCACTACATCTTGGTAAATGACAGGTTCTGCTGTTTCAAATGTTTCCAAGCTTAACAAATAAATGTTACCACCTTCAGTGCCCAGAAGCAAATTCTTAGCAGATGATTCCAAACATATTGCAGAGATCTTCTTCAGTCTGAACAGATAAATCATAAAGGATTAAAACATTCACAAAATTGCTTTTTTTCCTTTCATTAGTTGCAGAAATACTTACTTTCCCTCCAGAGCTTGGGATTTGACTTCCTCAAGAGAACTTTCATTAACTTCCCATAAATGCAGTGAGTTGTCATCACAAAGGGTAACTAGACGACCCTGTGATGTAGAAAAGTATGTAAGTACCAGATCAGAAAGAAAGTGTGAGAAGAAGCAGAGAGGTAAACTGTGAATAACTTACTTGGCTGGGTAAAAACACAATATTTGTCACTGGGCTTTCATTACTTTGATGCTGGCCATAGAACTCAACTCCGGGGTTGCCAACACTGGATGAATATGTTAAGGAAAATAAATAACGAAGGAAACTTTCCAGTAAATTCTCTGGCAAGGTTGATAGTCATTTTCAGGTCAAACAACTTCTATAAGACTTAATCGCATAAAAATGGACAAGAAAATGCTTTAAGGAGTCAGGTTGAATTCTTTTAGACAGTTTCACATCAAAATTACGGGATTGTCTTCCTTGAAAATTTAAAAACTAAACATGATTTAACTGCACCGTACAGGTAAGAAAATTCAAATGTTATGGGAAAGGATACACTTTGATGGCACCAGATGATGTTCCAATTGCCATAAGACGAAGAGTTGGGTCCCACGCCAACGCAGAGGGTTTGTTGGGGAATCCATGGTGGAGTGTCTACAAATTAGAATGGAAAGACAAACATGACATTAGTCAAATAGTTGCCAATTTTGTAAATGAACCATACTACAAAACCACTCACATTTCTGAAGGCAAAGAGCTCACGCTGCTGCCTTTGACGCTCAGCTGTGGGCTGCTGCCCCTTCCCTCTGATAAATTTCAACATGTCCTGTAAAAAGAATGGAAATTGTACGCCTGGGTAGATGAATCCCTTGCTGATTGGTCAAGTCAAAGCGCCAGAGAGGAAAAATAACATGAGAGACTCGAAATTTGTTGACCAGAGATGCCTTTCATTCGCTCGAGAGAAAATATTGTACAGGGGAAGGCAACCCATTTGATGGACGGGGGGTCGTCAACACGAACCTAACCTGACAAGTGTCACAGATTGCAGAAGGTCTCAAGCTACTGCCCCTGCGCCTACAAAAAATGCGGCTTCGATCGTTCAATGGCAAGATGCACCTTTGTGCAGGAAAATGCATTTATTGCCGCAAAATCGGTGACGAAAGAGGGAGGTATGCAAAGTCCTACTAATCCCCCTTGGACACGGGTGCATCCACGAACCGACGAGCTACTTACTAAGGACGGACTTGGCACTGGATTGACAGACACTCCGAGTAAAGACAGAATTCGCCAGGAGATGGGGTGTGTTCGAACATGCCCAGGGCAGGAAAAACGATTGGTGTGTGGGCAAAGCACAGGTGAGGGAGGTTAGGTTTGACAACAGTCACCAGTCGCCCGAAATGTAGGCTTGGGGAGACGCCGGTGTCCGCCCAACAATCACAGTGCCCCGTGGCCCCCACCTGTAGAGGTCCTAAGCCAGCCACTAAAGCGTGGAAATTACCTGGCCACAAAACCGAGGGGCGGCCCACTTCCAGCACGACAGCGGTTTAGTGTCCCAAACAAAATTATTGGTTAAAAAAGACAGAATTGTTTACGTCCCCGCCAAGCAAAACAAACGACAGCGGGACTGGGACGTGCGGCGAAGGCGAAGGGCTTCGAGTCTCTTCCTCTCCTTTGATGTGTATGCTTGCGCCCGCATACTTCGCAACCCCGACGGCATAACTGAAGATGCACTTTCTGCTAATCGTTGTTTATCTTGAACGGCTCTCTTACCATGGCTGGTAATCCAATCTCACAGCGTCGCTCAAAAAAAAACTGCAGCAGGGACGCGGACTACTTTACGCCATTTTGGGTTCGATGACTCAAGTGTCGAGTTGCGAGGAAATCCTGCGCCAAGCGCTTTTGTCTGCGTGAACGTCCAATTGTCAAAAGTAGCAGTTTCTACAGACACGAAAGTTGCCGCTTTGGTCTGAATGGTAAGTTCCTGGTTGGCTTGTGGCTTGTGTGTATTTTAACAAGTTTCTGAAAGGATTCCCACTCACTAAAATCGCCTTTAAATCGCTGTCCCGCGAAGTTGGCAACGTCACCGGTCTGGCCAATGCTGGCAACCTAAAAAGTATAATAAAATGTTTTTCTTTCTTTCAGAATCATTGCATGTCACCTTTCGGGCATTAATTTATTTTAAGCTTGCAATGAAATTAGAAATAAAACAAGTCAAAGACTTTTGAACACTATGAATGGATTTGAATTCTTCTAGGAAATGGGGAAATGTGACTCCTCAGCAGACGATCAGCAGAAGCTAGCAGAAAAACAACCATTGTTTATATTTGGTCACTTTGTTTAAGCGAATGACACGTTTAAGTAGCTAGCCCTCTTATTTAAGTGCCAAGCATTTTCGAGTTATCGCTGTCAGTTAGTTTTACAACGAACCCTTTCTTGCTACTTCTCTGACTTTCGCTTCGGTTTCGGTGGTAACCCTTTGCTTTGTTGACATGTCATCAGAGATGGTGTATCCTAAGCGGGAGACAAGATCATCCAAGATGGCAAAGGAAAAGACCTCCGATGGCGATAAATATTCAATTCTTCTTCCTACTTACAATGAAAGAGAAAATTTGCCCATCATAATTTGGTTAATTTGCCATTATTTGGATTCTAGGTATGTATACCGAATGATCTCTAGGTTAGGGTTTTACTTTCTAGGAGGAACCTTCAGAATTTTTATTTTTGATGCTGAGCTAAGCGACAAACCGTATGTGCATTTTATCTGGGCACGTGGCAGCTGTTCAAATTTTATTCCCATGTTTGGTTGTAGTGGTTTCGACTATGAGATCATTGTTATTGATGATGGAAGTCCTGATGGTACACTGGATGCCGCCAAGCAGTTACAAAAAATCTATGGAGACCAAAAAATTGTGAGTAGCTGTTGCTTTTGTCTTAATACCTGATTGAACATAGATTGTTCAGCACAATGTTCCTTGTTGGAAATAGGTATTACGGCCTCGTGAGAAGAAACTGGGACTTGGCACAGCTTACATTCATGGTATGAAGCACGCTACCGGCAATTTTATTGTGATCATGGATGCTGACTTATCTCACCATGTAAGAATTAAATGCTTTTATGTTCAACTTTGATATTTTAACAACTACTCAAATGCAAGTTTTTCTTGTTGTTTTCAGCCAAAATTCATACCAGAGTTTATCAAACTCCAAAAAGAAGGAAACTATGATTTGGTGTCTGGCACCCGATACATAGGAGACGGTGGTGTGTATGGATGGGATTTCAAACGGAAGCTAGTAAGTCGAGGGGCTAACTTCTTGACTCAGCTGTTACTGCGTCCCAGAGCATCAGATTTAACCGGAAGCTTCAGGTCCACATTCTTTCTACTCTGTCTACTCTTCTAAGTCTTAGACGTCTTAGACCCGTCAGTAATCCAATTTCTTATTTGCAGGCTTTATAAGAAGGCTGTCTTGGAAAATCTTGTGGCTAGATGTGTTTCCAAAGGATATGTGTTCCAAATGGAGATGATAATACGGGCCCGACAGCTGAACTACACAATTGGAGAGGTAATGTTAATCTTCTTCTGTAGTAGTTCCTGAGTGCTGCAACACACTAAAAATTCTACTCTCTTTCCTAGGTACCAATTTCATTTGTTGACCGTGTCTATGGAGAGTCAAAACTTGGTGGATCGGAAATTTTTCAATTTGCCAAATCTCTTTTATATTTGTTTGCAACAACATGATTCCTGACTGATATTCTTACTGTATAATAAACTTTTTTTTCTCAGCCAAGTTGTCTGTTGCATTTTATCTACTCATATGAAATAAAACAATATATAATTAAAGAATCAAATTATATTAAAGGAATAATACAAAGTAAGTTCAGGATAGTCGCATTCAAATTGTTGCATCATACATCTTAGGATCTTGGCTTCCTTTCATCTTCATACTTGTAGTGAAGGTCATTAGCATCATCAATAGATATGCACTTCCATCCCTTTTCAGTGACATGGTACACTGCAAACCACACAAAAACATTTAAAGTTTCTAGGCCATAACAATAAAATGAGATTGAGCTGGTGAGAATTAGGCATTACCTCTGATCAATCCACCAGATGCAACATCACGGAAAGTGGCATGGTAAATTGAACGCCGTCCAAGATCATAGGCTTCTTCATCAGTAAGATCCCAATGATACCCAGAATCAAGCACACCAAAGGCATGTACAGATCCGGACCCAACTGAGAAACAATCTCCCTTTGAGCGAGTGCCTTCACTGTCCACATAGTAGAGGGAAGACCCCTGTAAGACAGGAACAAGAAAAGGCAATGAAAACACTGAGACATCACCTGTACCTTGCAAGCATAGAACATAAGCAAAGTTTAACTTACTCGTTTGTCCCAACCAGTAATCATCATACCCATAGACAAGCCCATACCCTTGTAATTGTACACCATATTGGACATGAGCTTGCTGGCTGCTGCAATTGAGATGCGCTCACGGTTGCGCAGTTCATACAGTCGGCAGTGTTTGGCAAGAACTCTGTCCCAATAGACACAGTCAGCAGCACCACCAGCAAGAGTACCAAGCAAGTACTCATTTAGCTCCACAATTTTCTTCATGTCAGTAGAACCTGAAGAAAACAAACAATATCAACAGTCATAAAATTTGTCACTATGACAAAACATATGAAGTGCTGGACAAAATACCGACCAATGAATGAACCTCCAGTAGCACGTGAATCTACAGCAAGGAGAACACCACCCTGATAACGGAAGCCAAGAGTGGTGGTACCATGGTCGAAATGCATACGGATATCATTTCCTAATTCATCTTGTTGAATAGTAGACAGGGCTTCGGCAGGCTGTGGCAGGAGTGACAAAGGTAGGAACAAAGTTGCAAAATGAGAACAAATCATAAAAGCATGTCACACTAGCTTAAACGATTGCATAGAAAGGAGGCCTGTCTAGTGGACAAGGGATCAAATGATCTTATGTCATTGCAATGCCATTAAATTCCCCTGACTGGAATACTCTGACAGTCGGATGACTATGCAAGTTACAAAGCCTCAAATGTCCAAGAATAGTTAACAAGAAGTTGACTTGAGATGTAACTCGAAAACACATTCATGAGTAAGGTTTCAAGGCCACAAAAATCTCATGAACGCATAAAAAATACATTAAAAAATTGTAGATATGTTTACTACTGACGAATAAGGTTAGGACCTTAAACTTACGTTTGCGTAGGGTGGGATGGCAAGCTGACAGTTATCGAACAGATTTCCAGTGAACTGGGCAATGTCAGCTTCCATTGGCAGGGCATTCTTCCTTAAGTTGAACCTGAACTGGGTATCTAATCCACATAATTCGGCGAGAGCCATTGTAGTTGTTGATTGATATGAAACTTGCCACTAATGCTGCTGCCGGTCGGACGGTCGGTCACTGCCGATTAGAACCTTAAACTGATTTGCCGGCAGAGAACAAACCGGTAACCCAAGCTCGGTTTCAGTTCGTCGGCCGTCGCGAGGCTAGCGTACTAGGAGAGCTTAGAGCAACACTTATCTCAAAACCCGTAGAGACTCAGAGCAAAAATTTGAGTTTCCTGATTTCTAAAATTTTTATGGAGTGCGATTGCATGGGGTGCCATGCCATCGAGTGCCCTTCCCACGGCACCGTCAGCCCTTCCCTTTTCGTGTATATTTTCAAATCCCTATGTGTGCTGGCGCTAACAGCGCCAGTAATTTCTGTTACGTTCCGGTTTTGTCTCCTCGCCGCTAGCTGCAACTTTGCCTAGCAGACGATTACACTACACCCGAGTTCAATTTACTTTTTATTTTAAGTATTCGTAACCTCTTTTACTGTTGTCAGTTAATAGTAAGCGCAGTGAGTATTGATATGAACTGTTCTCTAGCTGATCTCTTGAAAATGCCTCTTCTAGTTGAATATTATTAAATCAAAGAGAACTTCTTCCGAAGATTGTAGAGTGCAGTTATATTTCGTGTCATTTATTCTGTTCATCTTACAGGACCAAAATACCGTGTCTCCCTCTACAAACCAGATAGAATGTCTCTCAGTGTACTTCGTGCCATTGGCACAGAGAGTCTTTTAAAGAATACATTTAGAATTCCAACCATGTGTCTTGTTTCGAGAAACTTTGAAGCAGGAAGGATGTCTTCAAGCAAGCCAAACAACCCCCCAAGTGATGATGCTTCTCTCAAAACAAAGAGCTTTGGCCCCAGCAATGGTTATTCTGCAGTTTACAGGTGCAAATCAACGAATCAGAAAAGCTCATTTTCAGTTTTTCCTGTTTACTTTGAACGGTGTTAAATATCTTTCAGATTACCCTCTGCTGGAAAACTTGCCTTCATCAATAGTTCCAAACATAATCAAATGAAAGTTCTTGCACCTGCTGCACCCGTATCAATGATTCTTACATATTTTGAATTAATATCTGGAGATACAGCTGCTGTCATATGTGTTGCAGGTGAAAATTCTCCGTGTAGTGGTAATCATTATATTTGTTAGACCTGAACTTAAAATAATTTACGGTTTCAAAATTGCAGGTATAGTGATAGCACTAAAGCTACATCTTCTGAGCATCTTTGCCACAAATATGATAGGTTTTGTCTATTTAAGTCCTGACCTGTCCACTGTTCAGATATCTTACATTGACCACAAAGGTTCGCGTAAAGATGAGTTTATTCCAGCTTCAGATATTGTCCCTCTTTCAGAAACTCCTCGTAATGTAATGGAAAAGTTTTATTCCCATATTTTTAGGTATTCAAATAAAGGATCTGTTCCAAACTTCAAGTTAAGTTTGTTATTTGGTGAAATAATAAATATAAAGCATTTCAGACATGTGTTTGGAAATAAAATATAGCTCATTGTGTATCAGAAAGGTTCTGGATCAAAATTGTAAGATATGTGCTGATTTTCCGCTGACAAAGGTGTTCCATAGCTGCTCTAAGATGGCATGGATTCTAAGTTCATACTCTTCTGTATCATCATTTTCACATTGACAATAATAAATTTATTTAATCATAATAATAATGCTTACTTACAAAACAAATTCAACTTCATTTAGCACAAGAAGGAGAACTATGTCCATCGGTAATGAGCATAAGCCTTGTTAGCTTCACAGAGTTTATGAAGTTCAATCTTCTTTTTTACTGTCTTGCCCTAGGAAAACAAATAAAATATAATGACAAAAATAAAAGATGCAAAACAATTGTAAGCGAGTTAATCAACCAATTATTATTGAACACTCACTGTATTCTCTGATGCATCCAACAATTCTTTTGCTAGTCTATCAGAGAAATATTCTCCAGTGTGTTGTCGTCTAGGTTCATGCTCCCTTGAAGTTGCAACTAACCACTTAAATGCTAAGGAAGTAGCTCTGCGGTCATTTATGGCAACTGGAACCTAAGGCAAAATGTTGGAATCATTTTACATCAGGCTTGTCTTCCATAAGGTAAGATAATGGAGGAATAGATCTGGGGTAAGGTAAGGATTGAATTTGGTTCAGTCCCTACCAAACCTCTTTAACTCTCTACTCCTCTCATTTACTCCCTGCTCTAGCATCCACAAAATACTGATCCAAAATCAAAACTGAAAAGACATTAAAAGGAAACAAACTTACCTTGTACACAACACCTCCTCGCTTGACAGGGGTAACATCTAAGACTGGTTTACAATTTTGTAAAGCTTTATGAAAAATCTCCCGAGGGTCCGTTAAAATGTTTTTTCGATTTTCTTCATCCTTGGCAAGGTGATATTTTCTCACCTGGGTACTTTTCACCTTTAAAAAGGCCTAAAGGAAAACAATATTTGAATTTTCACTGATAAGTCTAGAAAACAGCACCTCTGAAGTACATAAGCAAATTAATTTCAGGCAAGATTTGGAAATGTCTTTGAGTACTGCATAAACTACTGACCTCTTCTATAATCTGCCGTGCCAACAACTTTTTGCCACCTTTCATTACATGATTAACTAATTTTCTAAAGGGAGGAATAAAATCAGTGCAGATGAGGATATGCAACTTCATTACCAAAATTTCATAGATGATACAAAAGACTTACTCATAAAGGGGATCATGGAAAACAGAGGCATTCTGATTAGATTCTGCAGCTCTGACATTTTTGTGTAAACGCACTCGAAACTCTTCCGCACTAAGTTTCTTTATCTCTTCTGGATGATACACGGGTTTGATAAACGTCGGTGGGTATACACTGTAGCTTTTAACAAGCAATACCCGGAGGCTGAAAGAAAAAAAGAGTTTGAAAGTCAGTATCCTTAAGATAGATTAAAAGTAAGAAAACAGTACCAAAGACACCGCTGTGGGTAGGTTAGAGCCAACCCCTGTTGAGAGGTTCATACCTGTTATGAATTCCCACGTTATACAACGTACTGAGGGAAGCACATACTTGCAAACGCATAAGAGGCATCGTCAAGGTGTAAATAACTAATTGTAACGAGGTAAATCCCTTATTTCCCTCAGTAAAAGAAAATTACTGGCCATAAGTTGTGGAAGCAGAAAAACACGCCTGGCTCTGCAATCGCACTATACTATGAGAACAAACAGGGCCAGCCTCGCAACAGCGATGTAGATGGCAATATCAATAGCAATATGGCTGTAGGACCGATGTCTTCCGTCATCATCGTTGCAGACTGCAGACCGAAGCTGCAGACAAACTCAAAACGACAGAAAGATTTGTTGGATATGTTGTGATTTATGATTCTGAAACGCTTTACAGTGTATGAAAAAAAATTGTTCGGTCTTAGTTATTTATCCTGAGTTTGTGTTGTTTGATATAAGGTAGGCAGCTTGTGTGTAGTTGTCAAGTTGTTAATGACGTGATTTCATCTTTCATTATTGATCGTTAGTGGTTTTAGCGTGTACACGTATTTTCTTGCTTCACCGTGGTATCTCACGACGGAGGTATTCGACCAGGAATTCACTTTCTATTTTTTCTGAGTGATTCCATGCCCTTAACGGGCCAAACGTATGGTTGTGCCCTAGATGTCATTCGGTTTGAGGTTACTGCGCCGAGTACTGCAGCATCACTGTTTTGGCCGGTAGACCAGTGAATGATTTGAGATCTTGAATGAAAATCAAGTCTAAATTTTAGCAGTTTACATAAGTTTATCCTGTTTTGTTTTTTTCAGACTGTGTACTATGGTATATGCATAGAGCACACACTATCAAGAAGTTTGAAGTGTGTGCATTTACAAACAAAACAAAACATGATAATTCTCTGCTTGTATCTTTATCCAAAAATCTCCTTAACTACTGTTCAAATGTAAATGATTCAATGTTTATGAGAACATGTTTGCTAGCTGAAGTGAAAATATACGGACTTGTCGTGTTCCAGTCAACATGGGAGAGGAGGGTGCATCAGGCAGTGACCATCATCGCCTTTTGTCAGAAATGAGAGCACAGAATCTTGATATGATAAGGTTTGCATCATACCGCACTGCATGTAAACTTCGGTTTATTCAGAAAAAAGCCAATTGTAAGTTGTCTGAACATATCAACCTTTCTATAAGATCCATTTTTCTTATTTCTTTGCTAATATTTCTTGAATATTGGATTTACAGTGCATCAAGTAGACATCTGGAATGTGATTGAAGCTTTTCGGGAAAATGGACTTAACACATTAGAACCTCAGATGGAAGTTAATGTTTCTCGTTTAGAAACTCTTATTTCAAGTTTGTATCATAATTTGAACAAACGACTACCTCCTGCTCAACAAGTGCATGTGGAGAGTAGTTCTGGTCTCCTCCTCAACTGGTTACTGTCAGCTTATTCAGCGTAAGCAAATTCAAACATTTTTATTCTCTCTGCCTATGTTTGTAAGCTGTACATTGTAAATAATGTTTGTATTTTCAGTGAGAATACTGGGAAAATAAGAGTGTTTTCTATTAAAGTTGCATTGGCAACAATGTGTGCTGGGAAGTTGATGGATAAATTGCGCTGTGAGTGTTTTTTCTTGTATTTTGTTTTGTTTTTTGTGTTGCCTTTCAGGTTTTTATGTTGGCTCTATTACATTCTTTTTTTCTAGTACTTAAACTAATGAGAGTAAAATGTTGTGTTTCACAGATATTTTTTCTCAAATTTCTGATGGAAATGGACAATTGGTGATATGGCGATTTGAGGACTATCTGCGAGAGGTACTGTCATTACCTGCTGCAGTATTTGAATCTCCATCATTTCACTACTCAGCTGACTTATCAGCTAAAATTTTTGCTGGGGTGAGACAATTTGTTGTCATTGCTTTCTTTCTTAATTTCTTTTAATCAAATCTGAAAAGTATTCATTTTCTGTGTGTTGCTTTTCATTTTATAGACTCAAAAAGTGACAGTAAATGACTTTATGGATACCATGATGTCTGATCCTGGTCCTGCATGTTTGGTGTGGTTGCCGTTGTTGCATAGACTTGCTGGGGTTGAAAGTGGTAAGATATTTAGAATGCTTGATGATGTGTATGACCCTGAGCCTAATTCAGAGGAACTGTAGGAGAACCACTGTTTGACATTCTTATCTTTCTCCTCCAGTTGTGCACCCTATATCTTGTGATGCATGTCATAGAGAGAACTTTTCTGGGTTCCGTTACCGATGCCAAAAATGCCATAACTTTCAAATGTGTCAGGATTGTTTCTGGCGTGGACGCATTTTTGGTTCTCATACTAACGAACATGAAGTAAAAGAATACACATCTTATGTAAGTTTTCTCTCCCTATTTTCTGTTTTCTGTTGTAAGCACTGTAGCTAATTTTGTATAAAATTATGTTTGCAGAAGTCTCCAAGCAAACAAATTGGACACACCCTTAGGAAGTCTTTTCGTTGTGTTCCTGAAAAAGGGCGTCCAAACATCCCTCGGTTTCCAGAAGAACCAGAAAAGACACTTAATCTATCTCATATTGTGTAAGTAGAAGATCAAAAGTTCTATTTGGTTTATTGTTTGGATGTTATTATATTCTCAAATAATTTACAGACCTCCCTCTCCATTACCGTCTCACAATGGATTTCCTGAAACTTCTTTCATGAGCACCCAGTTTGATGTAGGTTCCATGGATAGCCGTTCTACTACAAGAAGGTACTTAAATTTTTAAACATCTTTTCAGATTTTTTTTAATTTATTAACAACTCAACAGTCAATAAAGTCATGGTGATTATATATCACTTAAATTGGTATTTTCAGTCCTGGCAAATATTCTTCTAGCCTTGATTCGTCACGCTATGATGACGAGCACCGCCTGATCCAACGATATGCTGCTCGGCTTGCTGCTTCAGAAGCTCGAACTGTGGTAAGGTTATTATGTTATCCTTTTCATGACAGAATCTTGATTTATGATGCTTCATCTTTGTTTAAGGACTTATTTTGAGTCCTTGACCTGTGCCCTATGACTTAAAATTTAATAATTACTGGCAGATTGTTTTCTTTCTTTTCTTGTTGTAACTTTTATTCTATATTTTTCGGCTTCTGTTTTGCTTTTTGATGGTACTGAACCTGCTTGTTTGGCTTCAAATATTCAGAATTTATACTCCTTTGGGAGTAATACACGTCTGGTATTGCATTTCTTTAATACTTTTTTTTTTTTTGGCGGGGGGGGCGTGTGGGGGGGGGGGGGCGAGAGTTGCAGGCGCTTGTTTTAAATATCTTACAGAGTACTTTCTATCTTTAATACCTTCTTTAAAAAAACATGGAAACATATTGAGCAGCAATGTTTTATGGGTGTGTGCTACAACTAAAATTCAAGCAATGTTCACTCATGACATGAAACATGTGAAGCTTATAGTTGTGAGCTTAGCTTGTTCTTTATTGTGGCATACTGAATATGTTGCAATTTGTTTTTATCTCAATCTGCTTGCTTCCACAGCCAAGGCAAGCATCAAGAACCTCAATGCACATTCCAGATCTTGGGGTATGTATACAATTCTTGTCCATGAACAAAACATTAAATTAAGCTGTGTTATAAAACATAGAGACTCCAGTTTTTCCTACTAACTGAAAGATTGTTATTAGTAATGATCCTATTTTACTATTAGTATTATTGAATCTTGTCCCTCATCCTTTCCCACTCACTCCCACTGGCGCGCAATCTTGGAGGAGGTTGAGTGCTGGCCAGATTTTTTGAATTATTTAACCACTGGCAGATTACAAATCAAATGATTATCATAATGTGTATCATTGTCGTGTTATGGTTTTTATTTAAAAATTGAAATAGTGTTTCACTTCAACATTTTCCTTAGACCTAATTTTAGTATTTTTCATTCTAGGGAAGAGCTCCATCTGAGGGAAGTTTAAGTGCTGAGACGTCTCAAATGCAAAGGGAACTTATTGCACAGCTTGAAGCAAAGAACAAGGAAATTGTTAGAGAAATAAAAAGACTCAAGTATGTGTTACATTTGTAGATCTTTGTTTCATCTTCTTGTGTTATCTTTTAAGTGTCATTATGGGTGCTAACCACCCACACAAGTGTTTTTTTTACATCTTTGACTTTATTTTAATAGAATACAGCAAGAAATGGAGAATGCTGCCCTGGGTGCAGAAGGCTCTTCTTCAGAAAATCCTGCTTTAATGTCTGAGCTCCGAGCATTGCGTCAAAGGAAGGACGAGCTAGAGGGGCATTTATCATCTCTGCAGGATTCTCGCCGGCAACTGATGGTTCAACTGGAAGGACTAATGAAGCTGCTGAAGGTAGGAATATTTTCATTCATATTGCAGACCAGACTTGGGATGAGTTGATACAATTAGCTGAAATGTGATGTTATGCACATTTTGCTTCCCCCTCTGCTCTTTTCTTCATGAACTAATTAATTGAAGACCCAGCAGCAGTTTCTTTTATTCAGTTAATTATTTTCCTCCTTTGGTGTGATTATGCTTCTTCCAAATACTGCCTCTGCATGAAAAGGTGATGTCTGATATGTATATTTTTCAATATAATGTTCATGAACTTCCTTGGAACTCTGGGAACATTATCTCAAGTCTGGTGTAGCTAGGGGGAAAAATGAGGTGTTCAGGGATGCTTTAAAATGACCATCATAGATTGCAAAGCTGGGGTGTGGTCGTCCAATAGGGCAGAACTCTGCAATTTTGTTCTATTGATTCAGCCAATTCACTTGCATGCATGAGCAAAAAGGACTTGAAATGCAAGAAAATTTATATTTTTATTAATAGCCACCTCTGAGAAACTGTTAACCCATTCACACTTGTTTGGCTCAAAAACCAGCTCACTTAAGTCCTTGAACACAGCTTTTAATGGGAGACTGGTGCTGGTATTTGGCTAAGCTTTTTGCACCCATCACAGAGGGTATTGCAAATACTTGTTCTTATGTGCCTCTTGTCTACTTGTAACCATCCAAGAGAACTTTGTGTAAAATATTTGCAGCAATTTAACAAAGTATTATTTACTGAAGTTAATGTAGAATTTAGAATTTATTGAAACAATTTCGGCTGCGGTTTACCTCTAAGCTTTTCTTAGATAAGAACAGCATTGAACATAAGTTGCAGTTTCATTCACACTGTGAACGTGGCCATTGTCATACCTTTATCATGACGTCAAGAAGCCAGCTATCGTAGCTTTGTTATTTCTTTTTTTAAAGTTATTTTATTGTTGTTGTTGTTGTTGTTCGGGTAGTTAGCAAGACATCTAACCTGGATCCTTTCATTGTATTGGTGAACCGTCCATTTACGTCCAGATCATAAACTATGTTACAAGTACAGTTAGTTGTAATTGATGATATAAACTTTCAAGTATGCCAAATCTTTTTACTTTTAAGAATGACATTTTAATTGAGGTGTTAGTTTAAAAGTGCCCCTGATTTTTATCCAAGAAATTTGACACTTGTTAAGATAATAAGTGTGATTTTACAGAACATTTTCTATTATTATTTGGAACCGACAAACGTTTTAAAACTTCAATCTCTTGTGTTACAAAAATGATTAACTTCAGCATAGTTTCTGTTAATTCTCTGCTTTTCTTGCTACATAGGGTGAAGGGATATGGAAACCTTTTGTGTTTTTTTTTTTATGTATTGTTGGTGGTTGGATATGAAATGCTGTTGTGCACTGCCAGTACACCTTGAAGTGGCTTTTATAGCTCTGCTCATCATAAGAACTATCTTTGCATTTTGGTAAGGCAAATCTTAACTCACCGTCCAAAAATCCCCATGCAAAGGCCTTCACCAATTAATTAGCACGCAATCCGCAATGTTGCTTTTCAGAATATTGGCCATATAAATTTGAGGAACAGAATTCCTGTTCCAGTTTTTAAGATATAAAACCCCTGTAAAAATAGTTAATAATTTTTTTTATTTGTATTTAATGTCATTTTCTGTTCTGTCCCTATGTGCTCATGAAACTATGATTTTGAGAGTAGTCTGTGATCTTATGGCAAGGTAGTATAGTTACTCACCACAAATGACTTCCCTTAATCCTCAATTGTCGAGGATGATTTTTACGTTACCCACCCTTTATCTATTTGACAAAAATAAAAAATTTGCTTGGTCTGTAATGAAGAATGAGTCTTAAGTCTACATTAACCTCTGGCATTTATCCATCTGCTGTAAGTATTTATTTTCAGATTTGGCTGTGTAGATCTCTGCTATATAGTGCACTTCAAATGAGCATGGGGTATCTTATCTTTGCTTTTGGGTATTTTTTCTGTCCTGGTGTATGATTCATTTCAATGTTGTTACAAATGAGGTTTTCTGTTGAAAAACATGACTTAAACGTTAAATGTTGTCATTTTTGCGTAAATTTTTTTTTAATAAACATATTTTTAAAATCTATCTGTTAAGGAAAATTTGATGATTATTTTTCAGGCGTCATCTGTCAGCCCTCCACCCGAAAGACACTGACGGTCACGATCGGGCCTCAGGGATATGGACTACTTTCCACAAGGAACATTGTAGGCGGCAAGATTATTTCATCAGTTAATCATGTTGACAGCCGATCCCTGTTGCTCGATCCATTGATATTACTTCTCAAAGGTTCCATTCCAATGAGTTGCCTATTTGCATTCCTTTCAATCTTGATACATGTTCAATGTTAACACTTTTATGTTTGTTGTGTTGGCTGTTCTATTTAGATAGCCTCTTATTGTTTTCAACTAGTCATGTTCTTGGATTATTGGAGACAATAAGTGCTCTAGACTTTGTCTGTTGTGGATCAATTTCATGCTTTCCTAGAGCTCAATAACCTCTTTATTGTGGTGGTTCCTGAAGAGGAATTGATTTCATTTCTTTAGGGTCAGTGCAAGGAAGAACTGCACACCTTACGGGGGGCTAAGTGTAGGGTACCAATACCCTATACAGAGCATTTCTGAGTGTCAAAATGAGACAATTCAGTCTTAAATTGGAGTAGGTGGTTTCACTTTGCTCCAGCAGTGTTTGATTCTTCCTCCCACTGACCCCAGAGCTTTCGTGTGATATGGTGGTGACACTATTTGCTTCATAGGTTGTACTTAGCAAGCCGTCCAATATCTCCTCAGTTTGTGAAGTACCTTTATTTTAGAAATGGTTAGGAAATGTGTCATTGGTATTTAAAGTAAGCAAAACACAGGTCTTAGCTCAGAAAAAAAACCTGTGTTAACTGAATTTAAATGGTAAAATTGATGTATCTACTTTCTGCTGAAAAAAATGACTGTATTTTCTTCTGTAGATGTGCAGTCATGTTTAAATTTGCTGTAAGATATTGTATTTTTACCATACCATTTAGCTCGTTATTTGCTTACTCTCACCTTGTGTCTTGCTGTGTCATATGACCGGACTAGAGTGGGCTTAACCATTTTAATTTTAATTATGTGACAATACTTAAGGATTCTCACAATTCTGTGTATTAGAATTTTACTACAATGATAATAAATTCTTAGCATTCCATCAGTCTTAATATTTTGGATCTGTTTCCTGTCTAGCATTAGCTTCTTGAATATGGCTTCAACAGTATTCATTGGAAATATTTAATCAAAAGTTGATAGCAAAACGAAGTGTTATATCATTTCTAAGTTCTTTGAGACAATGATTGTGGATAAAGTCAAATATTTATGTGTTTAAATATGTATATATATGTATGCATATTATTATTGAAGTATGTACTCAATTTAGCAGCTATTTTGCAGTCTACTGTATTACAGGTTATATTAGACTTGAGTTCCCGTTACTAACCAGTCCTTATGGTATCATTTAGACCTTTTTGTGTCCATGATGAGGTTTCTCTGTATACTCATTTGTGCAAACTGGTAAAGTTTGAAGGGGATATGTTTATTGACAATATATATAACCAACTCGATGTGGCTTAACTTAGGGTCCTCGATTCTTTATTGTAGTTGCTTGACCAGGTGGTTGTGAGTTTCCTGACAGACTGCTTGGTAAAACCTCGGTGGTACTGGTAGTTAATTTGTTTGACTTTCATTTCATGAAGAGTTTCATGTTCTTGTTTATTTTTGGACATAAGTGTCAAGGAGATTTTGTTGAAACAGTATTTAGTTTGTATATACACATGTGACTCAGGGACTTCTGACAGATCAATCATACTATACCAATACCAACTGCTTGTCATTGTTTAGTGGGAAGTTTTTATTTCATTGGCAAAATTAATCCTTTGTATTTGATTTATGTTTCCAATCCATTTTGAGTGTGAATTCTTATTAATTGTTTGTTTGTTTGTTACTTTTATCAAGCATGTTATATATTTTGTTTTATTGTTATGTCAATGGAAGTAGCTCATGAAAGACTGAACCAGATAACATTCAGAACAACAATTGTGATATATGAACAGAGGTTCTCAGAATGCTTAATGTTTGCTCTTGATGTAATCTATTTGAAACATTGTGGGGTTGAAATAAATGTATGTTTTATGTTGGCATCTAAATGATACTTTAAGTATTCCTTTAAACTTTTATTTTGAAAACACTCTTTTCTCTCAAATTTATTAGATCAAATAGACATAAGGTAGTGGAAAGAATGGTATGTCCCTTACTATCTCTAAGTTTACTCATCATTCAAGAAATTAAACAAACAGGTAATGGATCTTCTGTAAGTTTCTTTAAGGAGTTCAATTTTTGGGCAACTTTCATAAACAAAGTACTGGATCTTAAAACTAGGTGGAGGATGCCAAACTTCTTTAATAAATAAGCTGTGTTGTGGCTGCAGTGGTTATAAGATTTCTCAAATTTTTACTCTGTAATTTTTATTTACAGAATCATCAGGCCTCACCTCGTTCTACTCCAAATTCCTCTCCTCGGTCTACAAAATCTCCGCCACTGACAGGATCTCTTCCTGGAACTCTAACCAGCTCAGGTAGTAGCCGTTCAGCTCCTCCAACCCCTGGAAGTCAGCAACTTCTCCTGGGGTCTGCCACTGAACTGTCCTCTTTAGGAAGCGATGTGCGCTTAGCGTTTGGAAGCTCTGGAAATGCTCTTGCTAACTTTCATGCAGGTGAGAAAAATGTTTGTGAAACACTTGCAAGGAGGTTCTTCTTAATCTCAATGGCCTAAAAAAATTAATTTCTTTGATTTTGCTCAGGATCCTCTGCATCTTTAACTAGATCCGATCGCAGTTTACGCAATGACTTGTTAGTTGCTGCAGATTCTGTTACCAATGCTATGTCAACTCTTGTGCGAGAGCTGAATTCAGAGGGTTCTGACCAGGATGATAGTGACAGTATTTTAAGAAAGCAACTGGGTAAGATAGTGTCTTGTTGCGTTTTTTTTCTTTAATGAATTGTTTTAAGTCACCTTCTATAATTAAAAGGAAAAAGCCAAGCCAATTCCCCAACTAATTATTGCTGGTTTTGATTTTTCTAGAGCAAGATGTAGACGATGGCAGTGACAGTGGAGGCGAAGGAAACAGAGGTCAATTGCCATGGCAAAATGAGCTAGCACGCAAGCGCATGGAACAGGAGGCACATTTTCTTGCAGAGCTCCGTGCCAGAAATGGTGGACCAACTAACTACAATGATCAGGCAAGTCCAAACCGTCAAATATTTCTATCTTTGCAATCATATTTCTTTATTTTATGAAATCCCTATACAATGTTGTTTTGCTTATTATCTTTCCAGGAAATTTATGATTATATGAAAGATGATCAGGATTTGTTATCATACAACTATGACAGAGAAAGTCCTGCTGATGCAGAATGGCCAGAATGGGAGCAATCAGTTCAAAGATGGGCAAAGCGGTAGGAAGAATGAATGAAACAAAGTTTCTAACTCTTTATTACCCAGTTCTTGCTTTCAATGCTCCCAGTATATTGACACATTAGCCAGACCGCGTCTTGTCGTAACAAGCTTTATAAGTGTGTTGTGAATGCATTTGTGGTCACAGCTCTGTTAAAGGGTTCAACTAGAAGAAAAGAAAATGCCATCACCCCATCACAGCCTGCATGTTCAAAATTGAGCCTGTAATGTGAATGGAATGTGATTACCCTGATAGAGACACAGTGAAATAGCTGTTTGTAAGTTACCCTCTAATTATTCAAAGTCTTCTACTCAATGTTTCACTTTATCAGTTCTGTGCTATTTTTGCTAAAATGCAATTATTATAGTGGGAACATCCACTATTATCTAAATGGGGACGGCTATGAATGAGGAGTGATTTGTTCTAAATGAGCCATTGCAGCAGCCTGGCATCTTGTGAGGAGGATCAACTGATTACATTGTTCTCTTGTCCCAGTAAATTTGCTTCAATTTTGGAATGAAGAAAAACAAATTAATTACCACTATCTACATGTATTTTAACCACATATGGATACCACAAATCTTAGTAACTGTATTTATATCTTAAAGAGAAGGTTTGAAATCGGAATCAAATTTTCCCAGGTTTAGTGTCTTTAATTCTCCATTCCCAAGTCTGTCAAAACAATTTTTTAAAATTTTGGATGTCTACACCAAATATTGAGTTAACACGTTGCGCATAACCCAAAATCATAAAAAGTATTTCTGGTTTTCAGTTACTTCCAAATAATTCCCATTGTATTCTCGAGCATATCCAACATAGGAACACCTAATGGAGAATTGTTGAGTTACACACCGCTGACCATTCAGCTTTTTTAATGAGAATAAGAGTAATTCAAAGCTATGTGGTGCTTGCAATGTCTTTCTCTGTGTGGTAGATGCTTTCCATTAGGACAAATTTGTGTTTGCCTACTCAGAGAATCAACCGACTGTATCAAATCATTGTCTGTAATGTGTGTAGAAAAGAGATTTGATTGTGCTTCCCTCTGGATCATTGTAATCCATATAACTTGATTGAAAGGTTCCTTGCTAAAAATAAACATTCAAAAGATTTACAACAAAAAATTATTGCTTTTTTTCTTTACAACTTTCCAGAACCTCCATGAAAATATGACTTTGCGGCAGGCTGAAAACATCACCTCCCATGTAATTTTTAACTCATAGTGGAGGAATCGTGAAAATATTCTAGACATAGCCACACATTGGTAGTGCCTGGGCGTTGAGCACGGCATTCGGCGCTCGAGAAGCACGCGGCGAGACTGGCGGGAGCACGTTCAGAATGCACTCTGTATCCGGGCGGTTTTGTTCTGAGGTCAAAAATTGAGTACTGTTCGCGTGTAGCCCTGACATTGCTTGTGTCACTGAATCTGGCAGCACTGAGGGCAGGGGGAGGGGGTGGTGGTAACTGCCACTGGACTGCCCACGCCATCGTGCACGAGTCGCATAGGCCCACTGCAATTTGGGCCTCCTGGAAAGAGCCAACCGTTCAATTTGGACTGTTTGCATTCCGTCTTTCCGTCACGAGTCGTGAGACGGTACGAAATGAAGGCACGGCTGCGGCCAAGCTGCCGCTAGCACCACGCAGGCCCGTAGCCCGTCCAGCCCCAGTCGTCCACGCGAGTTTGCCGAATTGCCGGCCTCAGTAGTTCATTTCCGGTGGCGTTCTCCGTTCGCACAGCAGACCGATTTCCAGAGTCGTTATCGTGTGTTTTCGTCGCTCTGTCTCTCTCGCACCGAAACGAGGTGCCCCATAAGTGCGAGAAAGACGGAACGACACTCGGAATCAGTCTGCAGTGGCGCATGGCGGAATCCCGAAAATCGGAGCCAAAGCCATTCGAGTGGAGCAGTGGCTCGTTTGGAAACGAAATTGCAGCACTCGCACCGGTTAGAAGTACACGCCAACAACTCGAACGGCGCGCCGCGGCGGGGTACACCTCGATAGGGGGTGGTTAGGCCGATAATTAGCCTAACAAGAGACAAGAACGCTCGCGGAAGCGTTCCCGTGCTGCGTGCGTGTTTGGGCAGTGGAGCGGCGCCGCAGCAGCCATTGGCGCGTATATAGCATCGCGCTTCGCGTCCCCTGTGGTTGGCCGGGTGATGTCTCTCTCGCACTCACGGGGCGTACCATACTATATGCAGACTGTACCGTGGACGACGTCTGCACGGTGCATCGGTGCACGGGCTGGGCCGGCGGCTGGCATGGCAGGTCTGGCCGCGGGCGGGTCTCAATCAGCATCAGTCCCGTGAGAGTGCGTTATTCTATTGGACACTTCCATGCCCCAGGCCTCGCACGTCGCTCTGTCTCCCTCGAACTCGTGGGGCTGTCCGTAGGGGCGCGAGGGAGACCGAGCGACGCGCGTGTTGTGCTATCGGCCAGCAGAAGAAAATGCGCCCGTCGAAACACGGAGTGTCGAAAGCCGAATGGCCCAACTTGACCCGGCCGATCCAGCGTCCTCGAGGGTCCAGGGCTATTCCCGGCTCTCATTCCCCGCGCTCTGTCGGCCTGTCGGCAATTATTCCCTGCGGTAATAGTACATTGTCTGGTCTGTGGCGGGCCGCACGCACACTCTCTCGCACGCACTCACACACGTGTGCACGCGCGCCAAATTAAGAGGCTTCTCGAATTGAGTACGTGAGGGTTCGGGCCGCGCAGGGCCGCGGAGGCACCCACGCGTGGTCCCGCGGTCTGCGAGCGTCGGAGTGGGTATATCCAAAATCGGTGACAGAAGATGGCGCACGACGAGCAGCCTGGACTAGACTAGGGCGGTCCGTCCAGCGTCGTCGAGTAGCTGTAATTATGGCCCGGAATAAGACGGTCGGTGTGTGGATGGTGGATCGCCTCGCTGTCCAAACGTCAACCAAGGTGACAAGGCCGCCCCGCCCCGCCCCGCGCGAGCCTCGCGACACGTCAGCCTATCGCGGCTCCGTCATCTGAACGTGCTTCTTTTCTTCATCCCGAAAGAGCAACCGCTTTTTCAGTGAGCGTCGCAGGCTTCTGCAGCCCGTCCACGACACGAAGCGCGTCAGACTATCCGCGCCGAGTGGTCCACCAGTGCGTCATCTCCCTGCAGGCTCACGCTAGACACTGCCGTGTCGCTGTCATGCTCTGTCTCTCTCGCATCCCTACGGGTTGCCAAACGAACTCGCTGTCCGCAATCTACTGCTTGCTATAGCGCCTGGCGGGTAGGCAGTACGGGCGCGCCTGTGTGCGCGGCTAAAGAGCCTACCATTGCCATTACCATTACGGGCTAGCGCAGCCCCTGCCGAGCCGTCGAGCCCTTCAGCTGCCAAGGCACTTTCCTCTCTCTCTCTCTCTCTCTCTCTCTCTCTCTCGCACTCGTGGAGTGTGCCTTGTGCACCGTCGTATCGCGACGGATTATCGTTGGCGCCGCCCCTGCCTCCGCCTGGGGCGTTGCCATCCCTGCATTGCAACGAGCTCACCGGCTGAACCGCGCGGTATTTGGACACCTCGGGCTCGGCCGCGCGGCCAGCTCTGTGGCGTCCCCGGGGGCGGGCCCCCGAGTCGAAACAACTGCCGGCGGCACCAAGGCGGCACCAAGGCGGCACCGGAGCCCAGCATTGTCCGTGGTTGACAAGTCCTTCGGCCGCTGGTGACACATTTCCCAGGCCACGTGACGGCGGCGACCTTGGCTCGTGCTTGACACGCAAAAAAAAAAAAACACGAAACGTCAAATTACTAAATGCTGACAACTAACTTCAGACAATTTTAAAAATCTGTCTGCCCACCGGTAAATTCATGTTTTTAACTTTTTTTGGCAACAAGTTGTGTTGTTGGCCATACCAGAAGTAAAAACCCGTCCGCTAGTGTCGTTTGACGCACTTGCTTCAGCTATGCGACCGCGGCTTACTGAAAAGAGAAAGAGATACAAGCTCATTTGGTTCAATCTTCCGCGTACACTACCGCACCGCGAACTGGTGCTGCATGCATGGCTGCTGCATGCTTCTGCTTGGAAACGAAACCGGTCCCCGCGCAGTTCGGGCGGAGCGGCGCAGCATGGACGCCAATGGAGCGCGGCGTCCGAGTCCCGGCAGGCTGATTCGGAGCACTGCCTCATCTCGCTGTCTCCCTCGCACCCCTGCGGGATGCCCCATGAGTGCGAGAGAGACGGAGCAATGAAAGCATTTGGGGGTGCCTGGGGGTGGGCCTGCAGGTTCGGCCCGAGGACAAGGCTGTGGCAAGGCTGGGAGTGCAGAGCCGTGAGTGTAGATAGAGTGCAGTGCTCCGGGCCGGGCCATCGGGCCGACAGAAGGCCGAGAGGCGCGGACCCTTGGCCTATCGTATGTGAGTCAAGGCCGGGGCCGCAAAGGGGCTGCGGGGGCTCCGCGCCGCGACCTGGGTCGGCAGGGGTCATGCATGCCGCGCGCGTGTGTGTGAGAGTGCGAGTGTGTCTGTGTGTGTGCTAGCGCGGTGCAGCGCGCAAGTGCCGCGGCCGGCCTGCCGGTTACGCCGTTGTTCCGCTGCAGCGCGCTGAGAGCTCCACGCCGCACTGCGCGTTGCCGCGTTGCGCAACGGAGGCGATGCCCGTTTTATTGACAAAAGGCTCTAGACAGTGTGCTCGCCGTGTACACTGGGGGAAAGGGGCGGCGGGCGGGCCGGCACCAATACCAAGTTCAAGGTGGTGGGGCTGGGCCGGCGTGGCTGTGGCTGGGCTGGGGCCGCTGGGGCGCGCGCCTGTGATACAATAATCGGAGTGGACTTCCCTTGGAGAGAGTGGGGGAAGGAAGAAAGGATGCTCGACGCGCGCGGCCTAGAGAGCCCACCAACGGCCTCAGCTTCGCCGCCTGGTGCATTTACCGCGGCGACAAATTTTGATTACGGCAGTGTGGCTCTCCGCTTTGATGATTCACTACTACGCTTGAAGAAAAGCGTGAAAGTACGCTTCAGTTCTGCCAGTGTCTCCTTCAGCAGGCGGTCGGAGGGACAGGAAGACTGGGGGGTCGGGGGCCCATCGCGGGTTGCACATTGCTCGTCGTTTACTGAGTAGCTGGTAGCGCATGGCACCTCGGCGTGGAGGAAAAGTTACTGCCGATAAGGCTAATGTGATGGCTGATGGCGCTACGGCGCGCTACGCAGCTAGTTCGGCTGTTGGGCCAACGAAACGAATAGTAGCGTTGTGCTGGGTAATCGTCTCGGACACACAAACACACACTACTCGAACACGCCTCGGTAACTGGCACAACACTGGAAAAATACACACCTAGCGAGTAAACTTTCCGGCTCGGCGTGTGCCGCGGTGGGCCGTGCGCCCAGCCGGGTCGTGACCAGTATGGTGACCAGGTGGCTCTCTGTCGCCGCCGCAGCCTCCGCTGATTTAACCGGAAAGGGGGAGCGGTTCAACGGTCTGTCTGGCAAGGCGTGTGGTGGCCGCGCGATATAGTGCTAGTTTCCGCGCTAGAGGAAAGGAGTTTGCCAGAGTTTGGGCTCGAGACTCGAGGTTGTCCACCCCAACACTGAACATGTGTACGCAGCCCGCGCTGGCGGCCGAAACCTGCCGAAGGTCCACGAAGTCTGCCGAGCCGACCAATGTATACGTACCGCGAGGCGGGGGGTGGGGGCGGGGGTGTTTTTCAGGCTTCCTGAAGCAAATTCTCGCGTCATTCGGGGAACTCCGTGAGTCCATACACCGACCCGTCCGGCGAGGCAAAAACAAGACACTCGCGCACCCACTCTCGCGGGCCTGTGAGCATGTGAGAGTTTGACAAACGATCGGCAGGGAAGTCCTGATGGGGGCCTTGGAGTGCGTTGGCCTCGGCCTGGCCACGGCCCGCCACGGCCATACGGGGCGCGGAGCGGAGGCGCAGCGTGGCGCAGCGTCGCCGTGAGGCGGGCGTCGCTACCCCGGGCTATGTGCTACGCGTGGAGTATCGGCTTGGCCCCTATTCGGTAACAGTGACTCAGTATGACATCACCGGGAGACAGACCGGGCCGGCCCTTTCTTCACTGGGAACCGGAATCGAATTTAGTTTGGGGCGTTAAATAGCTGTTATCACGGACACGGACGCTCCCAGTGAACCAAGGAAATAAAGTTAAAGAAGGAGGGGGGAGACTTACTCGGGTTTCAATCAGATACACTCTCCCTCATTATCCAGGGAGCACAAAAGTCAAGTTCTTTGTGTCGTTACCCTCTGTGTTGCACTAGATGACGACGAGGGTGACGAGGGCCTGCACTGCCGTGACTGCACTTCCAAGGTCGCGTCTTCGCGGAATAGATGAGATAGATTGATTGGCAGGGATTAAAGGGGCTTTAATCAAAACAAGGCAAGTGCGTTGACACTGACACGTCTGACACGCGCGTTGCGCAGCAGGCTGCAGTGCAGTGGCACGGCCGAGCCGAGAGGCAGACAAACAAGCCGAGTGCGAAGACACGGCGAAGACACGGCGAAGACACGGCGGAAGCGGCCCAAGTTGGTTCCGTTTGTTCAGTCACCCCAGAGGACACGTTGACGTTGTCGCCTCGTCATTTCCTTTCCGCCGTCGGAAAATTGCGCGCTAGTCGATCCATCGATCCGGCAATCGATTATGGCAAATTGGGAGCGGGCCGCCGAAGGACATAATGGCACGGCATAAGTAAGTGAGTCACGGTAATTTGCCTACGTACCGCGCAAAAATGTGTGCCTCGCGTTTCGTCCTTCGAGGGACTCGCGAGACTGTTGCGCTGTCATCGCCGCACGCGCGCCTCACTGCCCGCCCTTCACCTCCCTGATACCGATCGGCAGTGTGAGGCAAGCCAGGCTAGCGGCACACACTCACACCAGTCGGAAGCGGTTCAATTTCTCAGCTCATTTTATTTTCGAAACGAGCGGCTAGGACATACAGTATCGCATGCAAGATCGGCGGCCTCTGAAGATGCTAGTTAGAGCCATTAAAGGCCTCCACGTTTTTGCTTCGTTTCTTTGAAGAGTGCACTGAACCAACGAGGAACGCAGTGCCGCAGCGCGCAGCGGGCTTGCCCGGCCCGGCGTGCCCTCGCCGATTTTATGTGAGCAGCCGAGCAGGCGAGCAGGCAGGCCTTCCTGGTATACGACTAACTGCTGGACTTAATTTTTGCGGCCGGCGAAGTTGCTTTCGACCTCGCGTCCCGTCCCCGCACTCCAGACGTCTGCGCGGTCCAGACCTCTCTGGTCCAGACCTTCTGGCGGACGGGCGGGGCGGGCTCTTTGCAACGCTGCTGGTGTAGTGGCTGGTTGTGCTGGTGCAGCGCGGCGCCGCCCGGAGCTCGTTTTATGTCAGTCCAGTCCACGATGCTGCTGTTGCAGTCCATATAAATAAATACTTTGATCTTATTTTTATTCCGCCGCGGTCTGTCTGCCTGCCTGCCTGCCTGTCCGCCTGTCCGGCGGCAGCCGGCCCTGGACGTCCTTCACTGTCTGCCCGTCCGACTGTGCGGCCGCCGCGGCCGCGGAGGCGCTGCAGTGCAGACGCAGACTGAGAGTCGTTTCCCGTTTTCGTCGCTCTGTCTCTCTCGCACTCATGGCGCATCACGTGGAGATGCGAGAGAGACAGAGCGACGAAGACGACGTTCGGAATCAGTCGCTTGCTTGGCTGCTGGAGTCCCACGGAGCAGCGCACCTTCCCTTCGCTCTCCGCGCAGGCCTTAATTTAATCTTGCATTGTTTTTTAATTGTCCATCGGCGTGCTTTCGCGTGGTTCGTGCTCGACGCACGCTTTCCAAGGCCGCCGAAAACAGCGGAGGAGCCCGAACCAACGAATCAACGTTCGAGCACTCGGAACTTTATGGCGGCGCGACTAGGCGGGATTGGTTTCCAGGACGCGAGGACTTATTTCGTCCTTGGCGCGGTGCGGCGCGGCCCGGAGCTTGCTAGGTCAGCAGGCAGTGGCAGGCAGGCTCAGCTCGGCGCGGCGTGGCCTGCCGTGCCTGCCGTGCTCGCGGCCAGCAGGCGGTAGGCGCGCTCATTCGAGGTTCAAGGTTCGGGGTTCAAGGCCCGCCCCAGCGCGACGCTGCCATTCTGCACCAGGTACCCTGCCTGTTGCCTGCTGCGTTGCTGCCCTGTGTCTCGCAGCGTCCGGCGCGTCGCTCTGCCACCACGGCTGCGATCTCCTCTGTTCTGCCACTCTGCCGCTCTGCCCGGCACGGCCCCTATGGCCCCGCCAGGCATGGTCCCGCCAGGGTCAAGGGTGCTGTGAGAGGTTTCGGAAAGGACGCCGGGTGCGGGCAGTGCGGGCTGGCCCTGCAGACTCATTCCGAACATTCATTTTGTCGCTTCGTCTCCCTTGCACTCGAAAAGCGCTCCGTGCGGCGGAGCGAGAGAAACAGAGCGACGAAACAACTTTTCGGCATCGCTCGGCCCCCATGGCCGGCTGGACGTGGCCGTGCTTCGCAGTGTTTCGGCTCGGCGGCCAGTGGGCTCGGCGAGGAGCTCCGTGGGCCTCCGTGGGCGTGCCTCGCTTCCTCGCTGCGCTGCCCAGACTCACTTGGCAGTTCACATCGTTCACGTTCACCGAGACCGCGGCACTACACCGGGAGTGGTCAGCGCTGGCGACCCGCCACACGCACCGCGCCGCACTGCGCCGAGCCGCGCGCGCTGATGCGACGCTGGGCAGCAGCGCCATGGCAGCGGCAGCGCCGGAGTTATGCAAAGTGCCCTTAGGAGACGAGCAGTCGAGCACCAACAGTCATCAAGGAGAAAGAGAGGGTCCTATCGTCGGCCGGCGCTGGGGTGTGGTGTGGAAAGGAAAAGTTTTGTCACGTAACAACATTACCCAGCCGACGGCCCGGCCCGCCGCCCCGTCGCCTCGCCGCATCGGAGGTTATTGGACCGGTTCACGCTCGATCGGCCTCCGCACTCCTCCACGCCGCCACGATACGGTGCGGTGCGGCCCTGAAGAGCATCGGGGCTCTGCCGCCGCCGCCCGCCTGGCCGCCAGGCCGCCAACGGCGCCGTCCCTCGCGTCTGCGCTCGCGTCCCTGACTCCCTGACCAGCCCCACGACGCCGTCGGCCCGGCCGGCCCGGCTCTGCCCTTTGCGCGGCGCGGGTCGCCTTGTACCGCCGGGGCTGGCCGGGGCTCGGTGACGTCAGCAGACTCAGTCTGTCTCTCTCGCATCTACACGCGACGCCTCTGTACGAGAGAGGCAACGGCGAAAACACTCTCGGACTGATGTCGATCCGAAGCCGACCGACGCCAAGGCCCCCGGGCGCAGTGCGATGCCGTGCGACGCTGTGCGACATGGCGGCATTCAAGGACTCGGCAGCGCGGTCACGCGGCCACCAGCACCAAGTGCGCACAGCGCGCACAGCGCGCACCCGGACGGACGGCGATGACCACCACGACGACGGTGGCGGCCGCATCGCCGTGTCATCGCTTCCATCGCGCTATCGCGGACCTCGAAACAGTGACTCGACCCGGCAGGCCCGGCAGGCCGGCACTGCCGCTCGGCCAGGCAACCCGGGCAACCCGGGCGCAAAACGCGGCCCGGCCGGCCGCAAGGTCACCGCGTGGGGAATGGGGAATGGGGATTGGATCGACGTGACCCGCGGCCGCGGCTCGGACGGACGGGCGGACGTCCGCCGCTCGGTCAGGCCCGGCCCCCGCCGGGCAACGTGGGCAGGCGCGCGTCCGCGAGGTCCGCGAGGTCCGTGCGTCGGCGCGCGTTCGAGAGGAGGGCGTCGTCCTCCAGTCTCGCTCCAGGTGCACCGCGCACCGCGCTCTGCATCTCGCGAACCGAAACGCGCGTCGTTTCGATAGGCCCGCGTCGGGTGCGTGGGAGGGGGGACAGCCGAACAGCCGGGGCACCCTGAAGGCACGTTATGCCTACTTTACAGGGGCAGGCTGTTGCGTTTTGCCCCCCGAGCTTGGCTGCGAAGCTGCGAACGAACCACGAACAAAGCAACAGTTCGACGACCGTGCCCTTGCACCTTGCGCCCCGCCAGAGAGCCTCTGGGAGCAGAAACCTGTCTGGGGAGCTCCTCCCCTCCCTGCAGTGCCTGCAGTTGAAGGTGTTGAACCCGTCCATACTCGCGCAACCTGGATGACTCCATGGAGGCACTAGCGGAGCCATTGCCATTGTGTTCACCTGCCGGTGGTGCCCACAGGTGCGTCCCGGCGCCGGCGGGGGTCAGGGGGGGGAGAGAGAGAGAGAGAGAGAGAGAGAGAGAGAGAGAGAGAGAGAGAGAGAGAGAGAGAGAGAGAGAGAGGGAGTAAGAGAGAGAGAGAGGGGCGCGGGGGCGCGGCAGTGAAGGGCAAGGGGGGAAGGCCAGGGTGGGAGCGGGGAGAGGGGGACGGGCCGGACGGGCGGGGTGAGGGCGGGGTGAGGGCGGGGTGAGGGCGGGGTGAGGGCGGGGTGAGGGCGGGGTGAGGGCGGGGTGAGGGTGGGGTGCGGTGGCCGACAGCCTTGCCGCTTGCCTCCGTGCGGCGCAGCCTGGCGCAGCCGAAGCCGAGCGGCGCGGCGAGCGGCGAGCGACCCGGTCGGCAGAGCCGGTAGGAACCCACCAGCGGACGGGCGAACCGAGGGAACCGAGCCTCGAGCACGGCCACGGCACGACGGCACGGCGAGAGAAGCAGCGAAGTATACGGACGACGCGAGTGAAGCGCGAAGCGAAGCGCGCAGTGCGACAAGTGGTGCACGTGCGCCAAGTGACAGTGTCTTGCCGTGACGCGCCGTGACGGCCAGTGACGGCCAGTGACCCAGTGTGACGCAGTGACAGGATGCGCGCCCGCGGCACCCAACGCGTTTGAACTCGAGCACCTCCGCGGTCTTTGTTTGTGGTTGTGAGTGGCAGTGCTTTCCGATCGCCCCCGCCGCCAAGCAGGCCGAGCAGGCCGAGCAGTGACCGCCATGGCCTTGCTGGGCGAGTGCTGCTCCGCCGCCCTGCAGCCGGCGGCGTCGTCCTCGCACTCGTCGCACCGCGCAGTGTACCTGCAGGTGCCCAAGAACAAGCTCATCGACATCGACTTCAGCGACGTCAAGTTCACCGTCAAGGATGGCAGAAAAGGTACATACAGTATGCGGCAGGCTGATACGCTGGTGGGATTGAACCGTGAAGTCGGGCTGTCAGTCAAGATAGTCGCAAGTCAGATTAGTTTGAATTTTTTTATTTTCAACCGAAAAACAGTAATTTTTACAAATAGACATATAAAGAAAGAAAACTGTAAAGAAAACCGCTTGGCGTACGTTTTTGCGTGAAACTTTTCATTTAAAAAAGCATAGAAAGTCGACAAAGTTTCGGTAAACTGTGTTTTTCTTTCTTTTTTTGGAATTGCATTGATTCTAAACTGCTAGATGGGTGGGTGGGGAGTTGATTGTAGACCGATTCTGGGGTTTAGTCCTCGTTTGTCTGGTGGCCTGGCGTCATTCTGCCATTCCTTATTCGTGGCTGTGCCGTGCTGTGCGGGCCGCATGCGCTTAGGGCCCGACGACGAGTCTCGTAGCCGCGCGAGGCCTAAGGTCGCGCCGGGTCGTGGACTCGTGGAGGGCCCACACGGGCCGCGGCCCCCGGCGGCCCCCCAGGGAGGCGGTCGAAGCCAAGTAACCAAGCAAGCCAAGCCGGCCAATGGAATGGACTACTTGGCGTGCAGCGTTGTCGGCGGGAACCGTCAGGACGATCGATAGTACTAGTAGCGTGACCGCGGGGCCGCGGGGCCGCCCGGCTGGCCCGCAGGCCCCAAGGTCAGGATGGCACATGATCCCTGAAGCGCGGGTGACGGCCTTCCCTCGCCACTTCCACTTCCACCTCGCCCATTTCGGGTCAATTGCGGCAGAAATTGGTGACTCAGAGCGTTGGCGCGGTCGTGGGCGAGGGCGGCCCGGCGCTAGTGCACTGTGCACGCCGATAGTGGCAGCGGCTACACTGTGGGGAAAGGGTGGCGTTCGCGCCGGCCTGGTTGGCCTCCCCCAGCTTCACAGTGCACTGCCGCGCTGCCGGCGAGTCTTGGTCCGAGGGAATTCTCCGCATGGAACCCTTCGGCCGCTTGGTGGTTCGTGCGTTTTGATTCCTTTTGCTGTACTCTCGGCGCCAAGCGGCAGGGTCCGCGCGCAACGCAAGTCCAGGCCCTTCGCGCATTTTCGCGCCGGCCCCACGTCGAGACGCTCCCTTTCGTGGAAAGCCGGCCTGGCCGAGGCGGAGGAGGCCGTGAAGCTGGGCCTGTGGCCGTCTGGTCGTGTTTGCCGGGCAATCCCCTGGCGGTGCACTGTGGGCCGTGGACACTGGTGGACACACTCCGCGCGCACTGATGGCACCCGCGTCGCCTGCGTCACGCAGGGCAGGGCAGGGCAGGGCCCGAGGATTAGGGATTACAGCTTCCCTGCACCAGCCTGCACCAGCATGCCCTTCTCGCCCTTTGACAATAGTCCTGCTTGTCACGCTGCTGACGTCAACGCCACTCGTCCACACTCGTCCACACTCGTCCAGGGGGTGGAGCTTGGTGGAGCTGCACCACGGCGCCAGCCCGCCGCGCCGGCCGGCCGGCCGTTGCCGCTCGCAGATTGTTTTTATCTCTATTTTTTCCGGGGGGTGTCTCGTTGGAGTGTTTGTCGCATTGCTCGGCAGCGGCGCAGCGGCGCTTCCCAGAGACTTCCGCGCGGGCATGAGGCGGCCGCTTTTACTCGGACTGGCTTCCGAAGTTGGCTCTGGAAGTTGGGACACGACATTGGTCCGACTGTACGGAAGTACACTCGTACAGTGCAGTAGTCTGAAACCTCGCCATACAAACACTATGCTAATGCTAATGCACGCAGACGCGTACCACTATCCGATGCACCACGTGCCTGGTTACATGATCCCCGCCAGCGTGATTGCCAATCTCCGTGGTCCTAGGTTCAAATTCTGGGGTCGATGCCTTTTTTATTTTTTTCTGTCTGCTAGTACACTGCGCTTCTGGGCGATGCGCGCCGTCGCTGCGTCATGATGCACTTAGTGGAAGCGCATAGGCGATGCACCAGGTTTGGGCACTTGTTGTGCAGCCTTATCTTATTGGGCAAGATAACCCACATCGTGAGGAATGCGTGCTGTACCCTTCCCAGGGCCAAGGTGGCCAACACTGAACCTCTCTCTCTCTCTCCCTCACTGCCTTGTGCTGCCTTGTCTCCGTCTGTCTGTCTCTTTCTCACACCGCTGCGCTCGCGCCGCGGGTCATCGACGCCGCTGTAAGACAAGTGCCTTTCGGTTTTTGCCGCGTCTCTGCTGCGCCGCGGCCTAAAAAGCGCTGCTGCCGCTGATGAAAGGAAAGGGGCGAATGCGAATGAGAATGCCAATTTGAATGCTTGATAGGCGCCGCCCGAAAAAGAATCGATTATTGCAGTTCGGCTGCCGTGCTCTGCCGTGGCCGTGGCAGTGTGGCGCTCGGTGCGGCGGCACGGCGGGGCTCGCTGAAAATAGACCGGGGAAGCGGTGCCAAGGCGCAACGCGCGGCTAGCCGGCTAGGCCATGAGCGCCATGAGGCTGGTCTGCCAGTGGAGTGGCTAGCTGTACCAGTGTATCGGCTAAAGCCGCTAAAGCGCCGCCAGGCCCGCCTATACAGTGGCGCGGCGCGCGGTACGACGCGGTACGGCGTGCTTTCGCGGCACAGTCGGCCAAAGCTCCTTGAAGGGCGTGAAGGACGTCGAGGGGACCGCCAAGTCCCCCCGCGCGGAGAAGTGCGCGGTTTGCTGCGAGACGCGTTCAAATTTCCCGCTTGCGACATCCTCGCCTGGCGCGTCACGGTGGGAAAGACTAATAATAAAACAAACACTTCTGCGCGAGTGCACGTGAATCGTTGGCAATAAAACTGCATTTCCCCCGCCACTTTATGCATTTTCCTTGATGAATCCCAGTTTCGCGTTTGCCCTTTTTTTACGTTTTTCCGGTCGGACGCGCTCGGGCCTTCGGGCGGGCTGCGCGTGTGTGCTTCACAGAGCGTGCTGGGCGCTGCGCGCTGCTCGCGATGTTATCCAGTGGCCCTGACTCATTCGCGTCACGCCGGGCCATGCTCGCCAGGCGCGTCAAGCCTGATGGCACTCGCCAAACCGTAAATATTTGTGTCCCTTTTCGTGTTGTCTCAGCAGCCGCGAATCACCATACTAATGTCGTCATGGGGCGGCCGACCGAGGCGTCCCTCTGCTCCGCGCCCCGCGTTTCGGCTTTTCAAAACTTGCTGAATAAGTGCGGCCGGCCCGCTCGGTGAAAGTGACAGAGCGCTTCCAGTGCGGTGACGCAACGCTAATTTTTCTCCTTTATCGCGGCGCGTGGGAATCCCATCCCGAGCCACTGCCAGGCCACTGCAGTGGCGGCGCGTGCCGAGCCGCGCGTCTAGTCCGGTCTAGTGCAGCACGGCGGCTTGGTGACGCATGCCGGTGTGGCGGTCGACGGGGACGTGCCGAGCCGCATTTGATCTCGCACCGCCACCATGACCCCCGCCACCGCGGACCGGATACCGGCCGCCACCCTGAGTCACTCCGCAGTCACTCCATCCCCAGTTTGACCAACCCCTGCACTGTAAAGCGGTGCAGCCCGGCCCTACACTGGTACATACACCAGATTACTTACTACACTGGTAAAACTAAGGCGTAACTTTGCTAGTGCACGTGGAGCCGGCCGGCGACTCCCACCCAGGGCCGTGGACTGCATGGCCTGTGTGGCCTGCTTGGCGTGCCTCCACGGGCATCACCGAGCAGCACACGCAGTTCTATTATCGGCGGTACTCGCGATGTGTGTGTGTGTGTGTGTGCGCCGACATCCGGTGCCCCCACCCCGTCTCCTTCCGGTGGTATTCCAGGGTCGCCGTCAAAGAGTCATGAGCACCATGGATGATGGACCGTGTGTTCGTAAAGCACGCCATTTCGCAATCCTTCACCTCTAAATTTTTTTTTGAAAAAAAAAACTGTCATCACTCCATGCATGGCTACATCGACGGACAAATTTTTATTTTCTGTCGTGACAGGTCTTTTCACGATGCTACAATGTTTACAAAAGCAGAAGGTAAAAAAAGAATAAAAAATTTTGGCAGATACGAAAACCTGTTAATGTTTGTTTCTCGTGGACTCGTCCCCGGAAAGGCGCATAACATGCGAAACGGTCCGGGGCACTAAATGGCGCGGGATTGATCTCAGGTTTGGCGTTGGGCCAACCGCCAGGCAGGCGGCCGGGCGGCACGGCGGCACGGCCCAGCGCAGCCAGCCGCTAGGTGTGCACCAAATCTTCCAGCTGTTTCCAGGCTTGATGATCTAATTATACATCCGCAATCACTCCATTATTTGAAATTCAGAAATGCTATCTGCACGCGTGTGGCTGTAATCCTTATCCGCTGCACTGATGATCGTCTTCACCTGCCGTCGGGCCAATCACCAATGGCAGTCAACGACAGTCAACGCACGGCGACCGTCTCTCTGTCTGCCTCGCGGCCGAAACCTTGTCGCTGCGCCGCTGCGCCACTGCTTCTTTGAATGGGGCGCGAATCTCTCGTTGCTTTTTCTTTGTCCCGGACAATCACAAGATGTTTTTGTTGTCCACAAAAGGAACGTTTAGAAAAAAAAACATCAAGTGTTTGGACGCTGACTGGTTGATCACACATGGGTCGAGCGCAAAACTAGTTCAGCCAGTTTTTACTTTTTCACTTTGTCTTTTCGTCGCTCTAAATATTTTCTATACGGGTGGATATTTCATCTCTGACCATGTTCTGATCTGAATTTAAAAACTAAGGCAGTGTTTCGCTTCGTAAAAAAACAAACAAACTAAAAAAACTAAAATAGACAAAAAATGGCAAAATTAAAACTTGAATTGACTGTGAATGCGAAATGAAGTCCGATTACTCGATTCGTGACTGACTTCCTGGTGCATTGTGATGCGGTCGTTTGTTCCAGCAGCAAAAAAAAAGAAAGAAAAAGAAAATGCGACAAGCGCGAGAGTGACTGCAGGCGAAGCGATTAATAGGCCGAATGGAACCTGCTGTGCGAGTGCGCGCTTCCGAAACGGAGTGAGATTGATGGTTCGGCTGAATGCGTGCGGATACACTGGGAACGGCGCGCGCGGCCCGCAGCCAATCACAGGCTGCGGGATGGCGGGTGGCGGGCCGGCCGCCTAATTTGAAAATGAGGCTCCAGGGGTCGCTCGGCGTGCTCGGCGTGCTCCGCAGGGCGATGCGGGCGAGGCGATGCGTTGCAGGCGCTCGTAGGCTCGTATCGCGCAACTATGTACACACACACAGTCTGACCTACTAGTAGCCGGATTACCAACCGGCAGTCAAGTCGCAGCGGCTGTCTACACTGTCTGCATGGCGGCACGGCGGCGGCCGCGCGCCACGCCACGTGAGCGGCCGGAGCCACGGGGACGCGGGCTAGGCCGTCGCGGACCGCGGGACGCACGCGGCCCGGAGCGCGGAGCAGCGAGCAGTGGCTAGGACGCGGAGCGGCGCCGGGCCGCGCGGATCAAGGCGGCAACTATCACTGCCTCGATGCGTAGCGCGTGGCGTGGCGTGGCGTCGTTCGACGTGTTGAGAAGCCTGCTGGGTCCAGACGCCCGCCCCGCCCCGCCCCGCCCCGCCGGCATCGCCGTTGCGTTGCGCCCTTGAAGCCCCACATCGCGCTCGGCTCACGGCTCGCCTCCTCCCGATGTTGGCAACATCCTCCGGCTGCAGCAAGGTGCTCGGCAGCGCCAAGCGCACGCAGCCGAAGTAAAAAAAAGAAGAAAAGAGGCGGCAATTATAAAAGGCTTAATGAGAGCGACGTGACCGCCTCCGGTTTGAATTCTCGGAGTTTTGCCGCCAAAAGGACTACGCACGTGACCGGCTGGGCTGAGCATGGCGAGCGGCGAGGCGTGGCGAGGCGAACTGGAAGGGTAAAGTGCATAGCAGTGACGAAAGGGGGCAGTGGCCTTCGTCGCGCTGGAGGCGCGCTGGAGGCGGCACGCGGCGCGCTGCGCTGGAGCCTGGCTGCCTGCCTGGAGCCTCCGGGAGACTGGTTTGGCCGCCAGGCGCAGCGTCGCAGCTTGGCAGCCAGGCTCCAGGCGGCTTCGCTGTTTCGCCCCGCGGAGTGCCGCGGGCTGGACGGTGGCTGGACGGTGGCTCGGCCCGGCCATTTACGGCCTCTGGTTTATCTACGGCGCTGATAGCGCACTGGCCGTTTGCATGTCTCTCTCGCACCCCCGCGGAACGCCCCGCGAGTGCGAGAGGGACAGCGGCGACAGCGCCGTTTGGACCCAGCATGCTGATGACCCAGCCGGCCGGCGGGCGTGGCGTGGCGGGCGAACGGTCTGGCGGCGCCGCGGGCCTTTCACACCTCCACCCGCAGCGCGGCCATCAAGCTCGTCCCGTCTGAGCTACACCGTCGGTGAAGTTCGTCCGGCGCGCGTCCTCTCTGGCTCGCACTGCGCAGGGCGTGGTGGGGCGTGGCGGGGTGCGGCGGGGTGGCGGGGCGGGACGGGGCGGGGCGTCCCCGCTGAATGGCCCGCGCGGCCGCGGACGGGCGCTTTGTCTCGGAGACCGCCAAGTTCAAGGTCGGCGCACGGCCAAACTGGTTGCAGCAGGGTGCGCGGCGGGGCGTGGCGGGGTGTGGCGGGGTGTGGCGGGGCGAGGGCCGCTCGAACAAGAGCAGCAGGCTCGCCGCGTGCGTAGTAGTAGTACTTTTTAAAAGCTCTTGCGCCGCTCCGCTGCTTCGCCGCTCCGCCCGCCGCGCCGTGCCACTGTGCGTTTCGAAAATTTGTGCCGCCTGTCGAAACGACAATGCTCCATTTAGCTGCACCGGTCCGGCCCGGCCTTAAGGCCCCACCTGGCGGTCCCAACGAGGCCCCAACGATGCAGTCACGTGAGTCACGCGGCCGTCACTTGCTGCACCGCGTCACAGTCGCCAAGCCCTCACGCTGCATGCGTCAATGACTCAACAACCGCCGTCAGAAAAAAGTGAGAGAAGGAGAAAAAGTACTTGCCCCTATTGTTAACATCATAGGGTCCTGATGCCATCCTGCAAATTATACCCACTTCGCGCCGTTCTTGCACCTGTTGGTCTGTTTACATTTCCGAAAACGGGGAAAAAAATTATAATGAACGAGGCGAGAATCGCGTGATAATGATATGATAAATAATGTTTCCTCGGAATGTGGTGGGATTATGCAGTCCTCAAGGACGGCCGCGTCTCGGCAACGCTGCTGCTGCTGTGCAGGTGTGGGAAGGGAGAGGGAAGGCGGCGGAGAGAGGAGAGAGGGAGACGGAGAGAGAGAGAGAGACAGACAAGAAAGCCGAGGCAATTGCCCGGTACCCGGCACAACCGGCTCGGTTCAATTCCAGTCAGGTTTAACGCACCCCCGGATGGGTTGTCGACCGAGGGCGGGGCGGGGCGGGCGGGGCGGGGCGGGGCGAGGTAAGGCCCGGTCGGCCAGCCTTATGTGTCATTAGCAAGGCGCGCTGCAGCACAAAGGCGCTCTGTCTGTTTCGGCGCGTCCTTGGCCTGCTAGGTGCCGGGCCGCCTGGCCGCGGGCGTTGCGCGGGTCAGGATGCTGCACTAGTCGACCTCCCGACCGCGATCCAATCATCATCATCGACATTTTCTCCCCGGCAGAATTCTCGCACGGGATGGTTGCTGTTGTTTTCTGCCTGCATTAAGTGACGGTGGCGAGGATGGGGGGGACCTTGGAGGGACCGGGGAACCGGTCGGGGCGAGGCGAGGCGGGGCGTCGGGATGGCGTGGAGTACTAAGTCGTCCTAAGCCATGACTTAGGGACGGAATGGTTCAAGCGGCCGCTCATGCTCTCCACGGGTTGCCGCACCTGCCCGGCCGGCGTGGCTCGCAGGCTGACTTTGGCGCTCGGTGCTTCTCTCTCGCGCACCGGGACGGCCCCTGAGTGCGAGAGAGACGCAGCGACGAAACCACGTGCGAATCGCGCGCCTGAAACAAAAGGGCCCCTCGCGCCTTGACCCGCTTGAGTGGGCTCAGCCAGAGGCCAGCTGCAGACCACTATTCCTAGTGGGGGGGGGGGTATCTCTCTCGCTCTCGTGCGGCGTCCCGAGCGAGAGAGACGCCGCTCGGCATGCAGACTCCAGCCGCTCCAGACGCGCGCAGCACGCGCAGCCACTCCCCCTGGCTATCAGCCCGAGCGGCACTATCGGCCTGGCCGTGGCCGCCGTGGCCGCCGTGGCCCGGCGGAACCGCCGCCGGCACCGATAAGCCTAGCCGGCAGGCAAATCGAATCCCTGCCAGCATCGCCCGCCTCGCCCCGCCTGTTGGTCAACGTCACGCCGCACTGTTGGACACTTCTTTGTCGAGCAGCAACAACTCCAATTTTCGGGATGAAGTGACTTCGCTTCATTTCGGCTGAATTTGCTTGGGCTGATTTAGCTTGATCTCGTCACATAGGCCAATTTCGTGATTTTTCATCGTCTTAGCGTGATTTTGTGGGCGGTGACAGGTTTAAGAGTGTACACATGATTGCGCGAGTTGTTGCCCCCTCGGTCTTTGTTGCTGTATTTTCCTTTTTTTGTCTTTTTGAAATCCGCGGCACTCGGCAGGCTGAGACGCCTGTGTCGCGCTGTCGCGGTCCCATTTGACGGCACTCGGCAGGCTGAGACGCCTGTGTCGCGCTGTCGCGGCCCCATTTGACAGCACTCCGTCGGCGGCACGCCCCCTGCACGCCTCGGCGCCAAATTAGAGGATTCGTGTTTACTTTTGTGCATTTCTGCGACTATTTTTGCTTTGACGCAAGTTGTAGCAACGCGGCAACATCGTGGGAACGGGAAAAGTAGTGTCTCTCTGCCTCAACATCGATCCGTTTGCCGTCCTTTTTCTGTTTTGTTTTTGAGTGTTTCCTTTCGAAGTTTAAAGGTCGCTGGTCTCCCCCAAAACACCGCACCGTATCAAGGTTAAAAAGATTCCGATGTCAAGTTTTTTTTTCTTCCAGTGGACAAAGAAAGGAGGGGGTGGGGGGAGGGCTGTAGATATTCTGGCGGATTCTGGAGAGGTCTCTGGACACGGCACGACGAGTTGTACCGGCCGGCGTGGGGTCACGCATCGCACTGGAACGACGACCGTCGGAACGAGTTTTCTGGAAAAACCAAAGCATGAGGAGTAACGGTCTTCCATCCCCCTCCAGAGCGCGATTGGGGAATACCGGGGAATACCTTTGGAAGGCCATTAACATTTTGCCCAGAAGTCTTTATACTAATTCACGCCCCTTCCAAGGCGCGTTCCAAGGGCTTAAACCGATTTACGCCATTTCTTGGGCGTAAATCGTTTGTGCCCTGTCACGGCATAATTTTGTTGCCTTTGTCTTACCAGTGCAGTGGAAGCTGTGCTTGACTCATGTTTATCCTATTCGCAGGAACCAAGGACGTGCTGCGGGGGGTGTCGGGCCGGTACTTGTCGGGCGAGCTGACGGCCATCATGGGCCCGTCCGGGGCCGGCAAGTCGTCGCTTCTCAACGTGGTCACGGGCGTACAGTAAGTGCATTCATTACGGCTTGGCATAGTTAATCCAGCCCACGGCAAAACAAAAAAAAAAAAACACTTTTTTTAATTTGTCATTTTAAAACGGCCTCCGGCAATAATTTTTCCCGGAATGCTTAATTCGTTTCCATATCACTATGCAGACCTCCATTTAGAATTTCAAATCCCGACATGGCTGGCAATTTGGAGGTTTCTGGAAACCGCGAACCGCGCGACGATTACAAGGGTTTCGTTCCGAACCGGAGTCCGACAGGGTAGCCAGCCGGGCAGTTAGCCGGTCGGGCAGCTAGCCAAGCAGCTAGCCAGCCAGGCAGCCAGCCTGTGCGATCATCGAGCCGGTGATTTTTGTTTTCCCTGTACGGTCTGCGTGCTGCGCAGAGCGGGCAGCGCGGGCAGCGCGTTGCCGCCAGGTAGAACCACAGGCTGTCCGGCCGCGGCAGGTTCCGCGCAGGGAAAGGCAGGGCGGCACACCGCGAGGCTGCGAGGCAGGGAGAGTGCTTTGAACCCTCCACTCTCGATTTGCACGCGGAACGACGTGGACGGCAACGAACGCCGTGGCGATGCCCGCGCCCCGCCCCCCGCGGCGCCGTGGCGTCGTCAAGAAAAGTCAAGAAGTCGCCTGTTTTCGTTTTGGCGGTTGCTTTGGCCGATCTCTCCCTCGTTGGGATGCGGGCCGCCGCGTTTCGTTCTCTGCTTTTCGCGCGTGGTCCGAAATAAATGCCTCCTCTGACTCGCTTTTGAGTCGGAAGGGTTCCGGACGTGCAGTGCAGTGTGGTGCCAGCCCGCCGGACCCCCCGCGCCGCGGCCCGCGCCTAGAATGCCCAATGGCGGGCTTCTCGCGCACGTCGAGGACGCAAGCCTGGCCTCTTAAAATTTGCCACCGTGACGAGCAAGCGCCCAATCGCGATGCGCTCGTGGTGTCACGGCACACGCTGACCGGAAATAATTTTCAGTTTCTCCCGCCTCTTTTTGGGATTTGCCGAGTGCAGTCACGAACACACACTATCTCACCACCGTAGAGAACAGCACACCCACTTGTAAAAAAAGACTTTAAAAAATACTTGATTTTTAAAAAAATTGAGGTATATGCGATTGGCTTTTGCTCGGCCTTGTGCAGAATCCCCCAAATATCCGGTTCAAAGAGCAGCCGGTTCAAAGCGTTAGACTTGCCAAGGAAAAGAAAAAGAAATGGGACGAGATTTCGCTGCCTCGCAGACTTCCCGCGGTGACCGCAGTCGTTATACTTGACACACATGCAAGCGCGCCCCGCCGTCCTCTCTGTCCAGCACCAGCCGCTATCTTTGCGTCCCGTCCTGACATGGCCATATCTCGGGAGACTTCTTGCGCGATTTTCTGTCTCACGTCCGTTCCCAGGACCTCTCGCGAATATTGTCGCACGGTTAGCCCACAAGGTGCGCTGGGGTATTGCGTGCGGGGCGGGGCGGGGCGGGCGGGCGGGGCGGGGCGGGGCGGGGCGGGGCTCGGCGGCCTTGTTCGCTGCCAGGCTGCACGCCGCGGCCCGGCCCGGCCACCCATCGGTCCGGCCGCGCCGGCAATGTCAAGAGCACTTTCGCCGAGAAGCCGCGGCGCAAACACGTGGCGCCGGATCTTTTGCGGTTTATTTTGGACAAGTTGATTTTGTCGTCCAAATATTGCCGCCCGAGGCACGCGTGCTGCGACTGCATTCCGGGGACGTGCCGAGTGCGGGGCAGCCACCAGGAAGACCGCGAGGCACGAGCCGCCGCGGCTTTGGCGCCGAGGCCGCAAGGCCACACCGGGCGGTGTGCGCTGTGCGGCGTGCGGCGTGCGGCGTGCGCGCCGAGCAGAGGCGTTTGCCAAAAAACGTGCTCCAGCTCCAGCCAGCCCGCGAGGGGCGTGAGGGGCGCGGTGGGAAGTGCGGCGAGCGCGCCGCCAGAGCGCCTGTCGACGGCGGGGTAGGCAACGCCGCCGCCTACGGGTGCGCGCGCGCTGGCCGGCGGCCTACCTCGCAGGCGGCCTGGAGGAGCACAGCGAGCCGGCCTCCCGGTGCCTCCCGGTGCCTCCCGGCCGGCGCCTTGGCCGAAAAGAGGCCATAGGCGTGTTGATACATCCGCCAGCGCGGTGTGGCCGGTGGACCGCCCCGCTGGCTGCCGCCCGCTACCCAGGAGGTGTACACTGGCGTCGCACGTCGATCGGCCGGGCCAGCCGGGCCGGGTTGGCACGCCGGGACCTGAATCTGGATTATCCGGTACTCTACTTTTGTAGGCCGCCGCCCCGCCCTCGCATTAGTTTGCCCAATGGTGCCGCCATGGTGCCGCGCTGCCGGGATGTCGGGGTGGTGAGCCGCGGCACCTGGCCGTCGTCGCCACCCCTTGCGCGGCCTCCAGGGGCTGCGCCGGGCTGGGCCTGGCCGCTGTGCTGGTGCGCCGCGAGCGTGCCCCGACCGCCCTGGAGGCCCTGGAGGCCCTGGAGGCCCTGGAGGCCCTGGAGGCCCTGGAGGCCCTGGAGGCCGCCTCGCTTCGAACACACTCCCCTTGTCGCAAGCGGCTTCGCCATGCTCCGCCATGCTCCGCCATGGCGCCGCGACCCAGTTGGATGCGTGCAAGCTGCGCTGCTGCGCTTGCGCCGTACTGTTGCACAAGTGCAGTGCAGCGCAGGACGTATGGGCTGCCCTGCCCTAGTCCTGCCTTGCCCAGTGGCCGACGCTAACGCTGTCTCTCTGTCTGCAGGGTGTCGGGGGTCACGGGCACGGTGGGCGGCGTGTCCATCAGCGAGGCGGGCGGCGCCTCGGGCTTCCGCAAGGAGTCGTGCTACATCACGCAGGACGACATGCTGAACCCGCTGTTCACGGTGCACGAGATCATGACCATGGCGGCCGACTTCAAGCTGGGCAGCTCGCTGTCCACCAAGGCCAAGCAGCTCGTGGTGAGTATGAGGTTGGCGGTGGCGGTCGCTGTGATTATTGGGTGGTGTTCGCGGTCCTCGCGGCGGCGGCGGCGGCGGCGGCGTGGCCTCGCACAGGGTGGCCGAGCTCGCCGTCAAGGAGTCAAGGCCTGGGGGGACGCTCATTGTGAGAAACTCGACCACCGCCATTGCGACTTTTCTATCGTGAGGTGGTGTGGTTAGCCTGCTCGTAAAAATGCCACTCGCGCGCTTGTGTGCGTGTGTGTGTGCTTGATGCACGAAGGGGGAGCATTATACTCGCATGCGCGCGTGAGAGAGACGGGCGACGGTGGGCGACGGCTGCCAGATGCTGTAAGGGACGACGTCGGCATGCGACACACGGCCGCTGGACGCGGTTTTGCCAACTGACATATAGTTGACAGTCGGTTGCCCGTCAGCTGAAGTTCGCATGGCTCGGCAGCACCGCGCCGCCGCGCCATAGCAGCAGCCGTTGCTTCAGGCTCGCCGCGCGTCGAGGTTTTCCCTCGCCAGGTTCGACTCCCACCCGGCGAGCAGTTTTTGCCGCCGTCTAATCGCGCTGCTGAATTGGGCCTGTACCGTCGCTGTAAAACAGACTCACTCTGGTTCTCCTTTCCTTCCCGCAGATCGAGGACATCCTGGAGACCCTGGGGCTGACGGGGACGCGCGAGACGCGCTGCTGCCGGCTGTCGGGCGGGCAGCGCAAGCGAGTGTCCATCGCCCTGGAGCTGATCGACAACCCGCCCGTCATGTTCCTGGACGAGCCCACCACGTAAGTCGGGTTCGCCTCTGTGTTTGCCGCTCTGCCGCTCTGGCGAACCTTGATTGGAAAATGGGCGACAAGCGCTGTGTTCTGCGGTGGCGCTCGCGGTGATGCAACCAGATTGTGGAGATTGGCGAGGCGAGGCGACCCCGCGTCCCTGCCGGCTGCCGGTCCCGCGGCCGGCGAGGCAAGTCGAGGCACGACGGCGAGCGAGCATGTCGTTGGCTCCTATGTTGGCGCCAGCCCGGCGGCCGGGCCCTGCACCGCCCTGCACTGGGCATGGCCCTGGCCCTGCCTAGGTCGCGCCGTCGGCCCGCTGGCGGGCAACCCCGCCCACCGACGGCGTGCCACAGTGGGCCAGAAGACCGGTAAAGGTGGCCAAAACTCTAGACGCGTCTTGAGCTCCAGAGTCGCTAATGGGACTCGAACCGAACGTGTGACCCCACCAATGGACTCCTCGTTCGGAGCGCAATCCATTGGTGGGGTCACACGTTCGGTTCGAGGTCCATTTAGAGACTCTGGAGCTCAAAACGCGTCTAGAGTTTTGGCCGCCTCCGCCGGTCTTCTGGCCCACTGTGCGTGCCCTGGCCGTGTTATCTATCGCTACGCGCTGCAGAGGCAAGCCGGCAAGCCAGACCCAGAGCCAGACGGTCCAATGCCGCCGACGTATTGCCCTCGTACCGCTCCAATGTCAGCGGCCGTGTCATGGTAATGGAAAGCCGCCGCGCGTGGACGGCTGACGCGCGGCGCCTCGTCGCGCTGTCTCTCTCGCACCCCCGCCGAACGCGCCGCGAGTGCGAGCGAGACGGAGCGACGAAATCCGCAAGCGGCCGACCGGACCGGCCGCCACGCGCGCGAGATGAGTCGGGAGTCTTCGGCAAATTATCGAATCTGGTGTCGGCGATGGTAATTAATCGGGAACGCCGACGCCATCACTATGCAGAGTGGCGCTCGTCGGCGTCGGCACGCCGCCACGCCACGCCACTCGGCACACGCCGCGCGATAATCCGTAATCCGTACTTACTCGATTTGGGCCGATCCGGCCGCTCATATCAGTGATTTTCCTACTTCCCTACGCCTGCCGTTTCGGCCTGCTGGTGGCGCCGGCCCGGCCCGGCCCTGCCGGGGAGGCCGACCAAGGCGAACCCACTTCAAGTGCAAGTGCGGCGGGCGGGCGTGTGTGTGTGTGTGTGCCTGCAAGTGTGTGTGTACTCGGGGCGGCTCCTATTTGCACTCACCTTTACACTGGAAACCGCCATGCACGCGCAGCAACGCGCAGCTGCTTCTTATTTTGGTTTTGAATGGTGGCGTTGCAATGCCTGTCGGTTGATTCATGCAGCAGTCGCTCAGAGCTGCAAGTGTAAGCGCAAAAAAAAAAGGGAAACAAGAAACGGAATCGAAAACACGGCGGTGAAGGCGCTTGGCGGCCTGGCCTGGCGACGGGACGGCCCTGCTCTCCGGTTTGATATAGGTCAGGGTTTTCTTCCGCCTCTCGTTATTGACAGGGGGTCCCTCTGACTCTCGGAGTCCCCGCGACGGGGCCATGCCGTTATATGTTCTCTCCTCGCCTCGTCCAGTTTAGACACCTCCGGACCGCCTCTGGACCGCGTCTGAACTGCCTCTGAACCGCCTGTGGCGGCCTGTGGCTACCTCCTCCTCCTTCTCACTCCCCGCTGCGCGCTGCGCGTTCTGCGCGGCACGTTCGTGACGCACGCGGACACACGTGCGGACGCTACGCGTGCTGCGGCCCGCGCGCCCGGAGCCATACCGGCGCGTGTGTGTATATATGTGTGTGTGTGTGTATGTGTTTGTGTGTGTGTTCTGCGTCGGTTATTTGCGAGTGCGCGTCCGATTCGTCGAGGCTGGCAGCCTGGCAGGCTTGTTGTCTGCCTCAGCTGGTGGCTGGTCGCCAGGGGGGACTGCTGGACCTGCTGTGCGCTGCCTGCCGGCCTGCCGGTGTCGTCCAGGAAATGGTTATTCATTCCGGGGCCTTATGGCATTGGTAAACACTCGGCGATCTCCGGCGAGCCATTCCGATCCGACCGATCCCGACCCGGCCGCACTTAGGCTAGCTCTGCCCGGGCAAGCGAGGCAAGCGACACGATGATCGCGAGATTGCGAACCGTTTCGGGCGGACTGACGGTCGGCAGCGTCGGCGCCCAGCTTGGTCTCTCCGGTCTCGTTAGGCCGGCCAGTGTACAGTGTAGGGCAAGTAATGACCGGAATAGGAAGTGGCGCCGCTGCCGCCGCCGCGGGGCTTGGGGCTTTGAACCCCGCCGAACAACCCCCGGCGAACCTGGCCGGATCCCGTTAAACCTCCTCCGCCGGGAGTCTACCATTTCTTTTCTTCTTTTTCTGATCGGCGAGATGGCGGCGAACGAGCGGCCCTCTCTCCGTGGAAAGTCAGCCTCCCTCCGTCAAGCGGCGGGACGCGCGGCGCCACGCCACTGCGAGCGTCTTTGTTGTTCGCAACAACGACTTTGTTTGTCGCTTTGGAATCGGTTTGAGTCGGTTTGCGGGAGGTGACGCGGTGCTGCGATGGCCATGCAGTTGGCCGTCCACTGCCAGCACGCGCCACGCACCACGCACGCCATATGCCCCGCCTCCATCGGGACTCGGTCCGTCCGCAGATGCTCCATGGCGTCGAGAGGCGAGATGCAAACTGCAGCTACTACTCGAAGATAAAAGTTTTCCAATGAAGCGCATAAGTCGTCGTTTTATCTCGCCCCCGAACGCGTCACCATCCTCGGATCGGTCCGTCGCTATGTCTCTCTCGCACCCTTACCTGACAGTGGCGAGACGACTCTTCTGCGCGGCGCGGCTGAGCCGTGGCTGCGCGGCCCAGCCACTCGGCATATCTACTAATCCCGCCAATGACGACCGTGGAGTGACACCTTGCTTTGCTTTGCCTGCCGCAGCGGCCTGGACAGCTCCGCGTCGGCGCAGGTCGTGTCCACCCTCAAGGCACTGGCGCGCGGCGGGCGCACCATCGTGTGCACCATCCACCAGCCCTCCGCCTCCGTGTTCGAGCTGTTCGACCACGTGCACGTCATCGCCAAGGGCCGCACGGTGTACCAGGGCTCGGCGCTCAGCGTGGTGCCGTTCCTGCAGGAGGCCGAGCTGCCCTGCCCCAAGTACCACAACCCGGCCGACTTCCGTGAGTAGTGACGCCGAGCACGCCGAGCAGTGCCTCGAGCTAGCAGTTCCTTCCTGTTTTACCGGCCGCTGTTTCTTCCTGTTTTACCGGCCGCAGTTTCTTTCTGTTTTACCGGCCGCTGTTTCTTCCTGCTTTACCGGCCGTAGTTCCTTCCTGTTTTACCGGCCGCAGTTTTCCTTCCTGTTTTACCGGCCGTAGTTCCTCCCTGTTTTATCGACCCGCTGTCAACGCTCGCATCGGACTGCGGCGGGGCCGTTTGCCATTTGCCAGCCGTTGCGACTAATTGGTCGGCAGTGTTGTGGAGCGTTATGGAGAGGCTCTTAGCCCCTGAGTGCTCACTGCTCACCGAGCAGGCCGATTCAGAGTGTCGTTTTCGTCGCTCTGTCTCTCTCGCACCTGTGCTGGACGCCCCGTGAGTGCGAGAGAGACAGAGCGATGTGAACGACTCTCTGCCGGAATGGCGTGGCGTGACGAGTGTCCCCGCTGACGCGGCTGACGCGGCGCGCGGGCGTTGTGTGCCGAGGCGGTTTGAGGACGCGCGTTGTCATTTGCTTGGACAATGAGGCGTCCTTCGTACCGTCGCCCTGGGGGCAGGCCCGTGAGTGCGACGAGGACGGGGCGACGAGACGAGTCGGTCTGCAGCACCCCCTTGACTCTTGGACTTGCCCCGCAGTGATGGACGTGGCGAGCGGCGAGCTGGGCGACCACGGCACCAACTTGGAGCGCCTGGCCAACGCCAAGGAGTGGCGCGGCGAGCGGTCTATCATCAAAGGTGGGCAAAGTCGAGGGAGGATCACTTTCCAACTTGCGTTACACTCTTGGAAGGGCGTGGCCGTGACTGTGGTTGTGCCGTTGCAGACCCGACGCAAGACTTCACGGACAAGGGCACGCGCAAGGCGATGGTGCTCATCAGGAAGCCCACCGAGCTGGACCGCTTCTGGGTGCTGCTGCACAGAAGCATGATCCAGCTGTACAGAGATTGGGTGAGTATGCGTCCAACATTCTGGTGCAACTGTTCTTCTGCCCGCTTTGTGGGGTGGCATAGTAACCCTTGTACTCGCTCCAGACCGTGACGCACCTCAAGCTCGCCCTGCACTTCGTGGTGGGCATCATCTTCGGGCTGTACTTCGCGGACGCGGGCTGGGACGGCTCCAAGACCATCAGCAACTTCGGCTTCTTCATGTGCACGTGCGTGTACCTCGGGTACACGTCCATGATGCCCGCCGTGCTGCGCTGTGAGTGTGGCGGCCGTGCTGGCTGTGCCGTTTAAACGTTCGAACCCTGTGATTATCGGCCGCTAATAGGTGGCCGCTAAGTGGAGGGCGGGCCCCGCGAATAATGGCGTTGCTTCGCTTTTGCAGTCCCGCAGGAGATGAACACGCTCAAGAAGGAGCAATACAACAACTGGTACAAGCTGCGCACCTATTACATCGCCTTCATCGTGGCCAACATTCCCGTCCAGGTGGGTTACCCTCTTGCCCCTAGTTTGCCAATTGTGGGCTCCCGGCGCCAACTGGAGAGAATCCGCCTACTTTAACTGGCGAGAACTACTTTCGAGCAATTTGGCATCGCGTGTCAAAAGCAGTCTGTGTCGTCGGCGCTGGAATTGGGCATTAGCGTGTGGACCGGGTTACCTCGCTGCGGCCTCTTTGAAATCCGTCAAACCGTACCCGGGAATTCCCCTCCCGCTCTTTTGAAAAAAAAGAAGGAATCATTTTGCGCTGAACTTTCTTCCGACGAAGCTGTCGGGAAAGGGCCGCTTCCTTGGCGCCCCGCGACCACTTGGACCAACACCGTCTAACCCATCTTCTCTCCCTTCCAGATGGTGTTCTGCACCGTCTTCACCTCCATGGCGTACTTCATCTCGTCCCAGGTGGCGGACTGGACGCGCTTCGTCATGTTCCTCTCCATGTGCCAGCTGCTCAGCATCATGTCCGAGAGCATCGGCCTGTTCCTGGGCACCACCTGCAACCCCGTGGTGAGCACGACCGCCCTGCCCCTGTGGCAGTGTGTCTGCACGCTGCCGCCTTTTGCCGCCACTGTCTAAGCCACCCCTTGCTCTTTCAGAACGGCACGTTCCTGGGCGCCATCTTCATCGCCGTGTGCATGCTGTTCGCCGGCTTCCTCGTCTTCCTGGCGCACATGCCGACGTACCTGTCGTGGGCGGCCGACCTCAACTACATGCGCTACGCCCTGGAGGGCCTGTCGCTGTCCGTGTACGGCTACGGCCGCGAGACCCTGGAGTGCCCGCGCACCGAGATCTACTGCCACTTCCGCGTGCCCGCCACGCTGCTGTCCGAGGTGGGCATGGAGGACGGCCGCTACTGGATCGACGTCTCCGCCCTGGCCGCCATGATCGTACTGCTGCGGCTGGTGAGCTTCGTCACGCTCAAGCGCAAGGTGAGCTGCAACACGCGGTGAGCTGCAACACTGCGCCACCGCGCCACCGCGCCACCGCGCCTGTGACAAGCTCCGAGATCTCAGTGATATTAGACGCCAGAACGCCAAGCGGCAAACTGTTTTAATTTTGGCTCTCGGCGTCGGCCCTGGAGCCTGGTGCCAGTAGGGAGCATTACTTAATGGCCTGTGTTCAAATGTTTGTGCCGCCTCCCTGCTGTTTTGTCAGCAGTTCGGAAGTCGAATGTTGTGTATAGAATTTTTTCAAGTGAAATGTTTATAATAATTCTTAAAAAAATATTTTTTTAAGTTCATGTCATTGTGAATGTTATTATTTGTCATTTCTATATATGCTTTTGTGATTGTGTGCACCTCTAAGGCAATCGGGTGTGCATTAAGGTTTAATATTAACCAAGTGGCTTCGGCCACATTTTCTCTCTGTGATAAATCGAACATATGTTTAAAAAATTCGCTGTGCTCTTCCTTGCACATCTCTGGATCCGATGGCTTGAAGTGCGATAGGTATTATCTGCATGTCTTTGGGCAGGGAACCATTATTCATTTAACTGTAATTTAATTTAAGTTATCACTGTTTTGTAATGTAGTGTGTGTACCTAATGAGTAAGTTAGCATACACGATTTGGTGACATCATTTGTGATTCCCTGGAATTCTCTCCTTTTTTTTTCATATGTGCTCGTGTGCTCTCTGAATACCTCTGAATTACCTGCAACAATTACTATACGCTTCTCCATGGCTGTGCTACATATATTGTGGCTGTGGTTCTTGCCATCCATTTTAGGTCAAATAGTTAGGAGGAACCCATGATTGTAGTGGGTAGTCTTTTTAAAAAAAAGGAAGTTGTTCTTTTGGTAAATAATTGTCGCAAGATATGTTGTGATTTGGTCTCGGTGTGACGGTGGGACTGTACCTCTGTTTGGTATCTAGCCGGCTCAGTCATGATCGCGAGCTGCCCACAGCGGAGCATTTGTGATACTGCGGGTTGTGTAACTGGTGCTGCTCAAATTTTAGAGCAAAAGCTAAATAAGCATTTAATTACTCTTGATGTGTAATGTAATTGCAGAGTTGGTAGGAACTTTTCTAGTCAAGAAAAGGGGAGAGTGTAGAAATTAGCAAGAAAGTCTTTGTTTGCTTTGTTTACAAATTTACTGTTTTGAATTTGTATACTCATGGAGAACAAAATTATACTCATACTGATGGTGAGCAATTTGCAGAATGTATGAAGGCGCAACCAGCATGAAGCAATATGTGACATAAATATCTGACAAAAGTTCCTACAAAATTAAAATAGGAAATGTGGGAAGATTTTACTCTATGGATGATTTCACCTATGCCTTCTTTCATTTACCTGTTGATACTGTATTTTCTCCCATTTCTTTTGTAGCCCTATCTTATGAAGCTGATGCTTAGTTTCATGCATTAAATAAAAGTAAAACCTAGATAATTTGTTTTGAAAATGGGCCTTTTAAGTACAAAAGAATTGAGCAGGGTCAATATGTGATGTAGATTCTCTCATTAATCTATACTTTACTATTACCAGAGGGATCATGAACTTGTAAAATCTGAACTGAAATAATAATTGTACTGCATACTTGTCTTGTTTTTCATTGAGTGTGTTTTTCCTCTCTCTATTAAACATGCTATCCAGCTGATCGTTTTCTACCCCTACACACGTCCCATGTAGGAGTCCCCTGCACCCAGAAAGTTTACTGCCTACAGTAATCAAATCTACGAAAGTTGTGTGGAACGAGGCAGGGTAAATGATAAGTATCTTATATTATTTTCAGATTTATTAAGAACTGAAATGCACCTCCCTCAATATGCTTACACACACCTCTTACTGCTACATACAATACAGTGATGTTCCGGTTGGAACCATGGTATTTACAATTGTAGGGCCCACAAAGGATCTCAATAATTAAAAAGGTAATGTGAAACTGATCATGTTTCGATCAATCAAAGAAAAAAAATTCTTAAAAGATGAATACAAACAAACAAATAATTTGGGAAGCAGTAGAATAATTAACTTGATGATCAACTAAGTTGAGAGATTCACAGGGTCACATAGGACATCCCTAATAAAGTAACTTACTCGGGGACAGAAGAATCTGAATCACATTTGAAAAGTCACTTCAATGGGGACTCCTCCTTAAATGGTATTTCAAGCACCCTTATTGAAACAAAACAAAATAAACACTTCCTTGGACTTGTGAAAAAGGATTTCATGGATGAGGAGGAGTACCACTTTCTGTTGAAGGCTGTATTGCACTCCAGGGCAGGGATGATGCATGAAAACACAATAGGTCCTCAAGTTCTGCAGATGTGTTTGAACTGGCATAATTATGTACATTTACAAAATAACATTTTACTTACAAATCTTATGTACAATTCCTCAATATGAAATCTATGCGCAAATTATATTACAATAAACAAAATATACAACTGGAAATGTACAATACCACTTTCCACATTTACACACATACATAAAATGTTTAATATATAAACAAATTTACAGTTTTGATTTCACAAATCTACACACATGGTGATAAATAAATAAACATTATGAGAATCAACTAGATGACAATCAACATAGATTTAAGATCGGGTTTTCTTTGATCAGAAAATAAGCCTGTCAGGAGACCAATTACATTAAACCTCTTGATCTTGAAGCAAGAGATACATAAATTTAAGTGCCTATCTGAATTGAAGTGTGGTAAGTTCACACATTATGTTTTTTGACACATATTACATATGAGGTGCCAACAAGAATCCTATAACTACGACAATGTGGACAGAGCCATGTCTTGCGTGTATTGTACAATTGTCCATGGATAAGAAACATTAAAAATAAAATACGCAGATGGTACAGGTTTGATCATTAAATGGATCTGATCTCATTGTGAATGCATCATATTAAATTTAAAATAAATTTTAATGTTCTTTAAGAATTTTAGAAATGGACAAAGTCATTCCATAGGCAGATTTTACAACCAAAATAGCAAATAACTGAATCTTCCATACATGCAACAAACAAGCACACACACAAAAAGGGGGGGGAGGGGAGGGGGTGACTTGTTAAATTTACTTTGAGATCAGTGTAAATTATTTTTTGAGCAAAGAGTTTAACATTGTTTCCATGCTTACTTTGTCACACAAACATTGTTACAAGACTTGCTATTGGAACTCATTCTAGCTGCCAGGAAAGATTGTAAAAGCTTAGAAGGGTAACCAAAGACACATATGATTTGATTGATCTGCACCACATTGATTTTCGGGCACTCTTTTCAAACAGTAACTTAATGTGTCAAACAAGTACTAAATCATAATCTGCAATCAGACAAAAATTATGAGAATGGCATCACAGACTAACTCATCCTTACTCATGAACAATAGACAATGTCAAGAATGGCAAAGTGAAACAGCCATAGCACACTGCCATTTCCTGAACAGAATTTGTATCTTCAAGAACAGATTGATTGGGGTACTTTAATTGCTGGAAGGTAAACTTGCAAGCGACCTGTATTACAGAAACACATACACATACAACTAGTGAGAATTTTAAAATAACTAGAATAAATATTACAGTTTTCAAAGAAGCATCATAGATTTGAACACTTCACTTGTTTTAAAACAATAGAAAGCTTCCTTGGCCAGCTACACACAGGAATAAGCCACTTCTTAGTGGCACACAGAAATTAAACAAATGGTCAACATTAACATAATGTGTGTATCCCTTGTCGATACTATAAGGCACATTTTCATTTCATATAATTTTTTAAGGTAGTGGAAAAAACAATCACAGTTAAATAGTGACTTAAATAATGGGGAAGGAAAGAGCTCTGCTTACATCACATGATAAAATACAGTCCACAACCATTTAATAAATGGCCCCTTGATGCATAAAAAAACCCCAGACAAGCACTGAATAAGCACACAGCGCTGATAATCTGCCTACATTTTACAAGACTATCAAACTAACTTGAACTAAATAAGCATATGGACAGATATGTTATCAACAGTGGGAAATACAGTAATAAAGGGGAATCTTTACAACAAAGGCAAATATTTTCTTACCTCTCATGCCTTATGAATATTATCTTGGCACACATGAGTCCGTTTTGATTCACAGAATACAAATAAAAGAATATCATACCCCAGAATCACTTTATAGTGCCTTAAGAGTATAAATTCTCAAAGGAAGCAAGGCTAGCTGTATACTTTCATATTCCTTTTTTGAGCTTCAATTAAGTAGAAGGGTGGTGAGAAAGAGGAAATGGTTGTTTCCTCAAGCAGAGAAAAAAGGAGTGGGAGTACAGGCTGCGGCTGCAACATCAAACAATGTAGGCAGAGGCAGAGGACTATCACACAAATTTGAAATCTGCCAACAGGGTATTACTGCGTGAGATATTAAACCGCTCTCTAATTATTAGATTCAGAATCAACCTGAGATCATAAAACCAGAAGTTAATGTGTCTCCAAACCCAGGATTAAAGTCTAATAATACATCCACAACAAACACAGTAAATTCAATTTAAAATAAAAAATAAACATGGAATCCAATGAGAACAATCACTAATGGAAACACATAACAAGGAAGATATTTAACAATTATTTTTCAACACACAATCATTTACAAATCACGATCACAGGACTAAGTTCTTGCATGATTATGGTGATGAACATTATTCTTTTGAGCCTTCTTTTTACGAGCTGAAAGCATGTCATAAAATGGATTATGACTAATGCTTTGCCTGAAATCACACCAATAAATTAGACACTCACATTGTTTTCAGAGAGATAGATATAAAGGGCTTTTAAGCTGTTAAGAGACATTATTCTGATATGGCACATACCTTACACACTTAATCCATTCATCTTTCTCTTCGGCTGATGCTGCTGACATTCGATACACAGTGTGTTTACCTAAGGTAGAAGATTACAAGTTAAGTTCTGTTATAGATGATGAAATTGAAGAGTGAGCATACAGTATTGATTTAATTACCTTCAACCACTTTCCCTTCACTATCTGTTTTGCATGCCTTAATGAAGTCTGAACCTGATGCATACAATTCAAAGCAATGCGGTTTACTGCGCTCATGAACTTCTCGGACTCTTATATTTTCCAAAGGAATGATGCCTCGGGGTTCTTTGTCAGTGGTGTATTCAAAGTAGTACAAACAGTTATCGTTCAGAATGAACCATCTTCTCTTCCAACTCTTGTAGCGACCCCCTATAATGAATAAGAACATTTTAATAACTAAGAATAAGGATACGATGAAACAATATTTTCTTTAAATAGTTTAGTTCACTTACCTTGTTTACATAACCAGCCTTCCTTGTCTGGGTTAAAGAAAGTATGCATGAGATCATTGCCATCATCTTCTGGTATCTTAAATGGTTCGGTTTTTATACTGTCATACAAACTCTGCAAAGAAAAATTAAGCACACATTAGGAATGAAGAAATGCAGCCATCGAATTCTGCATCACAAGTTAACAGTCATAAACAAACTACTCACAACTAATAGTTCCCTTGGAAGGTCTCCTCCATTGTTAATACCACGGTTCATAGATATAAACTGCTCTACAGTAGGCTTTTCTTTGACACTTGGATTATGTAAACTGGTATTGAGCATAATTATAGCAAATGATAGCACATAGCATGTATCTGCAAAAGAAACAACGTTTCAGAAATGATTATTGAATAACTGACACTGGTCTGAGAGATTTAAAATAAGACTGCACCTAAACCTCCACTATACCTGTGTTAGTAAAGATATTTGGGTTGAGCTGGCAGTATCGCTGGGCAAAGCACTCCATCATTCGGTCAATCTTCTGCGCTTCGCCAGGGAGTCGGAAGCTCCAAAGAAATTGCCTGTTGAGGAGATAGGGAACATGATAGTCAGTCAGGAGGAATCCATACGAGAGATGCAAGCTGGATTCAGGGTTGTTTGTTAGGTTTGTTGGGGTTGTTGAGAGGCAAGGCTTGGCTTACCTGAGGGCCTGCACGAGGATGAGGTCCGTGAAGTCGTGGAGGTCGACGAAGGACCGCAGCACGCGCTCGTTGAAGTCGTTGCGCTCGCCCAGGTAGTCGCCGATGGCCGTCTTGTTGAGGCCCTCGCCCTTGTACAGGAAGGCGGCCACGTCCTCGCAGGTGTGCACCAGCAGGCCGTGCTCGATCAGGAACTCGATGCCCTTCTTCGGGTCCATGTTGAACTTCTTCCGGCCGATCGACATCTGCTTGGCTTTCGTGTTGTTTTTGCTGGGGACAGACAGAGCAGAGCGGCATTGCAGTCGTGTGTGGTGAGTGAAGAAAATCGAGACCACCGAAAGGGCCTTCGTGATAATGGCAGACATGTGTTTGCGCGAGCATGCGTGAGTCACCCAGGAGACGCGCGCGGCGCTCCCCTCCACGCCACCGCAAAAAAAAAACAAAAAAAAAACGCACTTTAGCAACACGCATTGCGAACTCACCTCTCGTCCGCAGAGTCCATGTTCTCCATCTCCGCCACGACTTCGCCGAGCTCATCTTTGAGTTGCTGAAACAGACAACAAACACGCCGAGATGAATACACAATAGTACAGCGGCCGGCAATCTGTCTCACTAGCACCCGCAAGCGCTGCACGAGTGCGACGGCAGCACTGCTCATCAGAATCAGCCTGCGCTGCTAGGCAGCCCGCCGCACACCGACGCGCTCAGCACCGGGCGGTTGCCTACCCGCCGGGCGCTACAGGACGGGCCAGCGCCGCCAGCGCCAGCCCGCGGCTTTTCCTGTTTGGCCGTGCGGGCGGCAAGACTGCCCGACTTCCTCACACACCAGGTGCATCCGCCGGCATCCGCCCGAAAGAGGGACAGAGAGTGTGAGAGAGAAGGAGAGGAGATTTCGCGCCCGCCGGGCCCGCCCCCTCCCACACACACCGACAGGGGCTTAACGCTCGACTACTTCCGGCGATTCAGGCGGGTGGGACAGCGATGAGCTCTGTGCGCTACTGCCCCCCCCCCCCGGCCGCCCCGCCAAATCCGCACTCATCCTTGACGGCGTGCATGCGGCGGAAGACGTGCCCGCGCCGCACCGCGCCCATCAGCTGGCGTTGGAGAAGTTCGAGAGGTCCTCGCGCGGAGGTCGATCGGGCCTTCTCTTCTACTTCTCTCTCCTCCAGGCGGCGTGGCGGGGCGTGGCGGGGCGGGGCGGGGGTCGCGCTGGCTTCCGGCGGCACTTCCGGCTCCGCTCGCCCACACTGCCGCGGCCGCCACCGCCGCCGCTACGCCCCGCCACGCCAAGTGCGTTAAGGCACTAACGACCGCTAATGCCGACCGCCAACCACACACACGGCGAGGCCTGCCGTACCGACGCCGACGGACCCCCCGCGGCGCAGCCGGCGCAGCCTCGCACTGCCTGTCATCAGGACGGCGACGACGTCGGACGGCGTCGCGGTTCACGCCGCCGCCCGATGCACATTCCGCGCGACGACGCAACCGCCAGCGCGCTGCCAGGCAGGCGCCGCCAGGCGGAACGGGCCGTCCAAGAGTCACGGCACGGCCGGCTCGGCCGCAAGGCGCCACCTCGCTTGCGACCCTTGCCGACACCAGCGCAGTGGCCGGCAGTGGCGTGGCAGCCGACTTTCAATCCTTCCGGGCCGGGCGTCCGCGCTGGCGGAAATCGAGCGAGCGGATATCGCCCGGGGGCGACGCTGCGCTGACGCTGGAGCCTGGAGACCGCGCACTTGTTGGCGAGCTGGGCTCCGTATCAACCCCGGCCCGTTCACGCGGGCAGCGCGGGCAGGAAGCAAACAACAAACAACTCTGCGAACTCCTTGGCGACGTCGCCGCTGCCGCCACCGCCGGCTGCGCCACCACGCTCGTCCCGTCCCATCCCGCCGGCTGACGTGCGTCAGGACCGTCAGGACGCCTCTCCAACACGTCAAACTCGGGCGCGAGGCGCGTGGCGGGCGTCCTGGCGGCCGTCCTGGCGGGCGTCTCGGCGGGGCGGGGCGCGACGACCCGGCCAGACCCGGCCAGACCCAGCCCGACTCGCAGGTGGACGCGAGATTTGAGGAGGGGCGGGGCGGGGCGGGGCAAGGTCGAGCCGAGAGTGGGAAACAGTGAGTCGAGTCGGCGCTCCTCGGCGCGTCGCGTGGCACTGTCAAAAATAAATCCCAAGCGAGCGGCCAAAGCGGCCTTTGGGGAGGCGGGCCTGGCGGGCCTGGCGGGCCACGCGCCGAGGGGAAGGGGAGGGGGGTGGAAGTCCCCCCTCGAGGGCCCAGCCCTGCCGCCCCGGCCGCCCCCACGCAGTGCATGCATACCAACGACCGCCTGAAACAAAGACCAAGCCATCCTCCGGAAAGTTCGACCTGCCTGTCCCGTCCTGTCAGTTTGGCCAGCCAGTTTGGCCTGCAGGCCAGCCGCCGGGGCTCCTGCTCGCTCCTGTCAATCCTTGGCACGTCAACGTTACCCAATGGACGTGGCGGACGGCGCGCGTGTTGGGCCGAGCCTGGCCGAGCCGGGCGAGCTGGCGGCCGGAACGCAACGGCATCAACGCAACGCGGGAAAAAAGTTTGTTTCCGATTCCGACAACAAACAGCGCCACAATAACTTTCACCGCGGAACAAGGAACACGGAACAAGCCGAAGGAGGGTTATGGGGCGTCGCGGTGCGTCGCGTCGGAGGGCCGCCGGCGACAGCGACGGCCGTGCGAACCGCCAGCCGTACGCACCTCCGCCGTGCACGGCGTGGCGCTGGTGCCGCCAGGACGACGCGGACGTGCGAGATAGCGACCGGGCCGATACGAGTGCATTGCCCCGCGCCTCGCCGCCTCGCCGTCGAGGTGCCGGAGTGGCGGAGGCGCTAGCGGCCCTTTTCAAAATGCGCGCCACGCCCTGCCGGCTCCCCCGGCCCAGACACGCCAGTCAGTCAAGCCCCGGCGACGCGACGCGACCACACTGCCGTCAATAACGCTCAAAGAGGCGAGACGAGGCACCGAGTCGCACTCCGAGTCATCCCCGCTCCACGGATCCGACAAAGTTAGCGAACAGAACCGCGGCAAGCGGCAAGCCCGGGCTGGCAACCCTCGCCTCACCCCTCTCCCTCCAGCCAGCCAGCCAGCCAGACAGCCAGCCAGCCAGCCAGCCAGCCAGCCAGCCAGCCAGCCAGCCAGCCAGCCAGCCAGCGCGGCCGCACTTGGCCAAATTAGCTTGCCCTGCCCGGGATTGGGCGTGACTCTCTTCCCAGTGAGATGCGGAGATTGATTAAATGATTGATTGGCGCCTTTCAGGCCCCGGCGGGGCTGGCGGGGCTGGCAGCCTAGGCCGCAGGCCGCATCAGTTCCCCAGGCAATTAGCCAACTCGGGCGGAAACGGAACGGAGGGCGCACCGTCCGAGGCCCCGTCGCAACACGGAGGAGCCAAAGTCCAAGCCCGTCCGCGCAGCGCGAGCCGCACTCGCTCCATCACGCCGCGAACGCGCTCCAGCGAAACAAAACAATCCCCTCCGACAAAAAAAAGAAAGAAAAACAATAACAAAAACAATCGACGATTCCGCGCGAACGACAGCAGCTGTGTTGTGACAGACTGTCGTTTGAAAACACTGGCCCACTCTCTGTGCATCAGCATGCAGTATGTGTAACAGCGCGGGTTTAGTTTAATCCGTTTTATCTCGCGACAGCATATTTGGAATCCATTTCATGACGCCATTCAAATCGGCCGTACGCACGTCGTGATTTCTGATCATTACCGCCATGTTTACAACAAGAATATTTTCCTCTCTCTTTCAGACAAGGCATACTGCAAACATGCAGATCAGCGCGATTTCCGCGGAAAAGCCGCGCGCGTTGGGGCGAGGCACGGCGAGGCACGGGATGCCTCGGCAGCGCAACGCAGCAGCGCGGCCCGCCCGCGTCCTACACCCTAATCTAATCTGCCTGCAGCCGGCGGCGGCGACCGCGTGCGAGGCGCGTCCTGCCCTGCCCCAGCGGGCCGGCCTGCACACGCCGCGCGCCGACGCGCAAAAAAGGCCCGCGGCGAGGACCCCGCCAGGCCGCCAGACCGTCAGGCAAGCCGTCAGGCAAGAGTGCTGGACGTTGCCCGACGCCGTCGTCGCGCTGGACAAACTCCGCGTTGGCTGTTTGCATGTCGTCTGCTCGTTGCCGGCCAGACTGTGAGACCGAGTGACTCAGAGCGCTCTGGCTCTGATAATGACGCGACCGGATACGAAGACGCGGAGGGTCACGGCATTCCCCCCGCATGTGACGCGACGCCGCGACGCCGCGACGCCGCGACGCCCGCACGACAAACACCACAAAATAGAAAATCACTCTCCCGAGCGCAGACCCTCCTCCTCCCTTCTTGCGGGCGGGGGTCGTCCTTAAGCCGCTCGCTCCAGATAAGACGGAGAAGATAAGAAGCGGCGTCCTGTAGTACAGTCCAGTCTGCGACAGTCTGCGACCGCTCGCCTACTTTGGCGGCGGGGCCGAGAGTCAGCCGCCGCGCTGCGCGCTGCAACTGCCTGGCAGTGCCTACCATTCTGCTCGACGACAGCGTGTGGTTGCGGGACAGGTCCCACGCCGAGCGCGCGCGCCGCTGGTCGAAGCCGGGCGGCCCGGGGCCGGGCCCCGAGTGCTGCTTGCCCTTGTTCTTGCGGGAGCGGCGCAGCGACGAGAACCAGCCGTGGCCGCCGGCGTGGCTCTGCGACAGCCCCCAGTTCATGGCGGCCTGGCTGCTGGACGACGACGGCGTGCTGGAGCGGCTGGAGTCGTGGACCGCAGAGTGTCCGGGGCACAGGCGCACGCACGGGCACAGGCCGCAGCAGCAGCCGCGGCAGAAGGGCGCGCACATAGGTCTACGCGCTGCAAGGGCAAGCAGGGCCGCACCGCGTCACAACCTCGGCGTCGTCGACGCGCGCGGTGCGGTGCGGCGTCGCCCTCACGCGGTGCTCGAAGCTCCGACTCACACTCCACTGTCCGCTGCAACTTTGTTGCACAGACACTCCTCTCTCTCTCACACACACACAAACACACACAGACAAAACCGGGCTGATCTAGCTTCTCGTGGCGCGGAACGTCCAACGCAGGCGTAATGCCCGCAACGGCCTCGCGAAGCCCCAGCGCGCGCGTTCGAACGCCAATATGAATGGCGCGCATTCATCCAAAGGCGGCAGGTACACTGCCGGCGGAAAGCAAGTGAAGACGAGCGTCGGGGCGCCCCGCCACGCCTCGGCCGGGCTTGGCCTCCCTGACGTCACGCCGGTGGCGCGCCGGCCGCCGCGTGTTGGCCGCCCTGATCGCTATCGGCTCGGCGGCGGAGCCCCCGCGGGGGTGGCCAGGATGGGGGTGACGAACACGACCAGACGCAGCGCGCATGGCGGGGCGTGGCGGGGCGGGGCGTGGTGTCCGCATAAAACAGACGGCAATGGCAATAATAGTACACCACATCGATATCCCATTAGCCCCCCCGTCGTCGGCCCCGTCGGCCCCGGGGTCGTGTTGGCCGTGTCGCCGCCGGGCAAATCAACAGCAATGTCCCGGACTAGGGCCACCCGTCAGGCCGCCCGGCGCAGCAAAAAAAAAAAAGAAACATCGACACCGCTAGTGGTTCCTAGTCACGAAGGTGGGCGGCGAGGCGCGAGGGCTGAAGGGACTCGGCAGCCGGCAGCACTCGGCCGACTCGGAACGAGTTTCAGCGGCAGAGCGACGCGGCGCAGCGGTGGTCGAGCAAACGACGAGATTACCCAGGAATGCAGCGGCGGCAGTGGCAGCGGTCCAGCACAGGGCGGCGGCACGGCGTTAGCAAGGCGTTAGCACAGCGTTAGCACAGCGTTAGCACGGGGGCCGCTGTGTCGCCGTGGCGCGGCGCGCACCTGGAGCGGCACCTGGAGCCCCTCCGGGAACCTCCCTCGTCGCGCACGCAGCACGCACCACGCATGCATCAATGAACAGACCGATTCCGAGAGCGGCTTCCGGCCTCTCTGTCCCTCACGGGGTGCCCCGCATGGTTGCGAGAGAGCCGCAACGACTCTCGGCATCGGCCTGCTCTGCTGCGCGCTGCGCCACGCGTGCACGGGGCTGGCTGACCGCGCTGGCCGAGCCAAGGGCGCCACCTCCTCGACCCGACCAGGCGCCGGCCAGGCCGTTTGCCGACACCAGGCAGGCCGTCCGCCAAGGTAACAGAGAATTGGCGTTCGAGGGCGAATAATAGAATGCCAGCGCGTCAGCCAGTGGCGTGCCGTGCGACCGATGCTCCCTGGGCCCTGGCTGGGGTCGCCCTGACGGCGCCCTGGCTGGGGTCGCCCTGACGGCGCCCTGGCCCTCGTCGGCCGGGGCCGTCCGGTCAAGTCGCTATTGGCAGCACCAGCAGCAGACTCATTCCGAGAGTCCCTTTTCGCCGCTCTGTCTCTCTCGCACCAATAGAAGGATGCCCTATGAGGGCGAGAGAGAAGGCGGTCCGCAGGCCGCACTGCTGCCGTTAAAAGGTCGCGGTGCGCGGCACGCAAAACGGCCTGCAAACGTAAGTACGCCCTGCCTTGGCGCTGAGGTTTCGTCGCTCCGTCTCTCTCGCACTCGTGGGGCGTGCCCGGCGTGCCTTGTGGGTGCGAGGGAGACAGAGCGACGTGCGCGGAATCGCTCCGCTGCTGCGTGCTTCAAGTGTCGTAAAGCGGCCGCGTCCGGAACGGCGCGTCGGCCGACACGTGTGTGAGTGAGTGTGTGTGTGTGTGTGTGTGTGTTTTGGCGCGCCATCCGCCCGGACGCCTTCCGACGCCTTGAACCGGCGCCAAGCAGATGGCCCGGGCCACGCCACGGCGCGCAGGCCGCGCAGGCCGTGCTAAAGGGCAACGCGAAAAGCGAGGAATCTTTTGCCGAGACCGCCGCCACTGCCGCCACGCCACAAATAATGCACCAGGCTCTACGGCGTCCAAATAGCCCCGCCCGCCCGGCACGCCCGGCCGGCGGGTCGACAACTCGAATATAAAACGCCGCCGAGCGCAGTGGTGACCTTCTGGAGCGCGGCGTGGCGCGGCGGCGGTCAACCTCGTCTCTCTCCTCGCCCCACCTCCTTCCCCGCACCGAGCTCCGCACCGAGCAGCGCGCTAAACGGCATCACGGCCGACAGGGGGCCGGGCAGGAAGGGCTCCCTGGCATGTAGTGCCACTAGTGCCAGCGGCGCGGCGCGCGAAGTCAAGCTCAGCGAGCGCCTGGGAGGTAGGCACTGCCGAGGCACGCGTGCTCGGCGGTGCTGCCTACCCGACCTCCGTCAGGCGCTACAGCCCGGAGCCGGAGCGGAGTCCCGGACCGCCCAGGCCGCGAGGGCAGAGAGAGAGGGCCGAGGCTCAGGCCGTTGACTCGCGGCGACCATCTTTCCACCCGCCGGCTCGCCCGCCGCCCCGCCGCCCCGGGGCTACCGGTACCGCATCTCCCCGCATTCCCACCGCGAGACTGACTAGGCAAGGTCGAATTCCAACCCGCCGGCTCGGCTCGGCTCGGCTCGGTCCAGCCGCCCGACTCGCGAAACCTGTTCGCAGCGTCTTCTGCCCGCCTTCTGCGCGCTTCGTGCGTCGTGCTTCCGAGCCCCAGGCACGGCCTGGCCCGGCCGCGCGTTTTCGTCAGCCCGGTCCAAACCGGTGCGCGGCCGCGCCGGCCACGCCCAACGAGAGCGGCGAGTTGGCGAGGCGGGGCGTCTCCAGGAAGCCGCGCCGCGCGCTCCGCAGCGACACGCTGAGTCACTCGGCCCGCATGTGTCACCAGCAGACGACGCGGCGCTGCCAGTGGCGCGGCGGTGAGGCGCACCTGCGGCGCCTGCACGCCGCGCAGTGCCGGCCGTGCCAAGCACGACCCCGCGGCGCTGCCAGTGGCGCTGCCAGCGGCACCAGCCAGGGCGGCGGGCGGCGTTCCAAACCCTCGCTTTATGTGAAGGCAGTGGGGTGGGCGGACTCCGGTTCCCCGCCATTCCACGCCAAGGGCCTGCCGTCGGCCCGCCGTCCCCGCCGCCCTTTCGTGGCCCTTCGGCTTGCCTTCTGGGGTGATCAGGGTCAATTGATCGAAGAGGCCGCGTCTTGAATCACCCCCCTCCCCCTCCCACTCGCTCCCCTCCTGTATTTATGACCGGCCGCGCCGCCAAGGAGTCCGAGAAGCAGTGGCCCTGCAGGCAGCCGCATGGGGGTGGCCAGCCAGCCGGCGGCTATCGGAGCGAATGAATGACCCGCCGCGCCCCGCCCCGCCTCGACGCGCCGAAAAGTTACTCGCGGTGTTGTCGGGGCGCATTCACGGCTCCGGGCCGCGCCGACCAGTCTGCCACCAATGGGCGAATCAATGAACCGATGGACGAGCGCAAGTGCGGAAGAATGAATGAACGAATGAGCCAATGAACGAATGAATGAAATTGTTGAGCGAATCAACGCATGGCTGAATGAATGCGTGGGTGCATGAATGAATGAATGAATGAGCCCCCCAGGCGGCGTATGCCTGCACTCCAAGACAACCGAGACGACGGCGAATCGATACATCGACACACCCTTCCACCATCGAAGAAAGCGGACGTCGATGTGTGAACATTGGGTACAACACGCGGTGGGCAGCAGTGCTGCAGCAGGCAGTGCCAGGGCAGTGGCGGCCGAGAAGGCGGCGAGTACCGGCAGCAACAACAACATGACATGTGTCATCGGGTCACACTGCAGCGCCATCGTCTGACTCAGCCAATCAACTTCGGCCCCGCCCGCCGCCCGGTTGGCCAGCCGGGCCGGGCTGCACGCACCGTGCATTCTGGGCCGCCTTGGTACCGCCCCCGCGGGGCTCTCTCTATGTCTGTCTCTCTCTGCGCGACGTGACTCGGACACTGTGACAGCACAGTGGCGTCATCCGTGACGAGGAGACGACGACCACCGCGGACACCGACAGGGAAACACCCTTGCCTCCCGTGTCACCGTTTGGCGGTCGACGCTCAACAAGGCGCGACGTGCAGACCAGACCGTGCCGACGGCGCCGACGCACAGTGGGCCAGAAGGCCGGCGGAGGCGGCCAAAACTCTAGACGCGTTTTGAGCTCCAGAGTCGCTAAATAGGACTCGAACCGAACGTGTGACCCCACCAATGGATTCCTCGTTCCGAGAGCAATCCATTGGTGGGGTCACACGTTCGGTTCGAGTCCTGTTTAGCGACTCTGGAGCTCAAAACGCGTCTAGAGTTTTGGCCGCCTCCGCCGGCCTTCTGGCCCACTGTGCGACGTGACGCTTTCCCGCCGAGCCAAGTGTCCGAACCGAAGCCAACCGAACCGCGACGCGCCGCGACGCCAGCAGCCACCTGATTCCGAAGGACCGCCTCCACGCTGTGTCTCTGTCTCTGTCGCACTCACGGCAAGTCTCGCAGAGGTGCGAGAGAGAGACCCTTGGTGTCGGTCGGCAGGGGATCGCGCTCCAGGCCACTCCGCGCTCCGCGCCATCGGTCCCACGCAACGCGACACCGACGCCGCAACGCAACACAACGTCCAGCGACATGGTCTCTCTCGCACCTACACGGCACGTCCCAGAGTGCGAGAGAGAGAAAGGGAGAGTGGAATCAGTCTATAGGCCCAGCGCGCTGCAGCGGGGCCCAGCAAGGCGGCAGGGTAAATTTGCTTTCCGGCGTGGAGCTTGTCTGCCTGTCGGCACGGGCGTATGTTTGCCAGATTGTCTATCCAGGCAGGGCAGCCTGCTGCGCCACTGGCAGGGTTGGGGCGGGGGAGCCAAGGGCGGGGCCCTGTAGGGCACTACGTCGCGGCCGGACAGGCGGACGGGGGACAGCCTGCCACACGGAAGGGCACGACGAACCTGCTCGAGCCGGCTAGCCGGGCGGGGCGGGGCGGGGCGGGCGCCTCACCTTCCCACGAGGTCGGTACGCCCCGGCCGACGCGGGCCCCGCTCCACACAACACCGCCACCGCCGTCGGCAGGACCCCCTGGGTTGGGCCGAGCGTGGCGGGGCCGGGCGGAGCCCCTATGGGGGCGGTCGGTGGTCGGCCACATGGCCAGTCGCCCCGCCCGCGACGGCCGGCCGACGGCCACGCCGCTACAGTGGGGGAGACGAGACAGGGACAGGGCGGCTGAGACGCCGTCGACCGCCGGCCGGCCGCGCGGGCGGACTGGCGGACTCCGGTTGACGTCGAGCTGCTTGACGTCACAGGCCACGTCCCCCGAGCCTCGGGGAGGGCGGCCGACCAGGCCAGACCAGGCCGGGCACCGTCGGCACCGTCCACACCGCAGATTAAAACCAAAAGGAAGGCAGGAAGGCGGCCCGGATTCCGAGAGTCGCAGTCGTCGCAGTGCTTCTCTTGGGACGCTCCACGAGTGCGAGAGAGAGAGACGGCGACGAAAACGAGCCCCTGCGACGCCCCTGCGACGCCACGCGGCCCGGCGATTACGCGTCATGATCGGGGGGCATCCCGAGCGGCGGCAGGCGGCAGCTGTTGGCACGGACGTGCAAATCGCACATGATTGCGCCTCGTCACCGGCCGGCCGGGGCGGGGCAGGCGGGGCGGGGCGCCACGGGCACTAGAAGCCTCCCGCCCCCTTTTCACGTACAGCAGCCAATTTGCACCCCGCGGGCCTTTACATATCACCGATTGAATAATAAAGCGCGCTCGCTGGCCCGGCGCCGCCTAGCACGGCCCGGCCCGGCCCGGCCTAGCGCCCCTCCGATAATCCGTCACGTTATTGACTGCGGGATCCATTCAAGCCGGCCGTCTGGTCGACTCCAACGCGTCGCTTTTCGGCCACCCATTCACACACACGCACACACACACACACACGCACACTCACACATGCACGCACGCACGGCGGTTCGCGGTGGAACGCTGGAGGCAACCCAGGTCGGACGGGGCGGACCCCAGCATGGCCCAGCACGGCCGGGCATATCATTAGGGCCGCTGGCGCGCTGGCGTGTGTGGGTGGCACGGCCAGCACGGCCGGCACTGCTTTCGTCGCCCCGTCTCGCTCTCGCACTCGCGGGGCGTCCCCTGAGCGCCCCGAGGGTGCGAGAGGAAGGGAGACACCGTTCGGAGTCAGCCTCGCAGGCACGTCCCCGTCCGGGAGCCCTTTGCCCGTACTACTACCTGGGGCCTAACGAGAAGGTGTCAGTCACCGGGGAACAAAGGGGGCGAGAGAGAGGGACAGGCAGCAGCGGGGCCTTTAAAAAATTGGGACACGGCAAAACATGCATGAGCTCAGCGGGTCACGTGATTTGAGGAAAGGTTTATGAAAAGGGAAAAAAAGGGGCGAGGGGGTGTTGGGGCGTGTCGACGAATTCAAAGTGCCCCACCTGCAGGACCGCCGTACGTCGCGGCCCCTCCACGCCCCCACCCCGGCGACAGCCAGCGAGGTCCCCGACGGCCGCCCGCTCCATCATCAAGTTGGACGGCGAGTGATTAGAACCGCCCCTCCAACTGGCAAAGTGTGGTTCTGTTCGGAGCGCCGGGGACTTGGCCGGGGACCCTGGGCTGCCCCGGGCCGGGCGTCGGTCGACACTGCAATCGGTACCGGCCAGGGTACTCCATATGCAGCGTCGCCAGCGGCCGCCCCCGGCGGGAACTCCACGCCGGACGGGCAGGTCAGACGGACAGACAGACAGACGCAGAGAGCTTTGGCGGCGCGACCCAAACTCGTGTGACAGTGCACCGTACTTACAACTCACCCTACCCCCTCCCCCTCTCTGTTTCATCCTCACAAACAAACACACACTCACACAAAATCCCCGACGCACACACGCGAGCGGCTCTTTGGGCGCGGCCCGCTGACCGGCTGGCCGGCCGGACGAAAGATAATTGCCAGTAACACGATCATTATTGCTTTCCAAACGCGGTGTCGTCCTCCCGGGGCATTACATCCCGGCCGCACGCATCCCCTCCAAAACAAAACCATTGCCTCGGTTGCTTTCCGTCTCTCTCACTCACACAAACACACACTCTCTCTCTCCCACTCGCACACACCGAGTTCGAGCACCGCGTGACGGCTGTGTTGAAAAACAATATGCAAACCTCTGACGTGCGGCACTGCCTCTCATGATGTCGTCGAAGGCGAGCAAAACCACACAGTCACTGCACTGGGGTCGGCGTCGTCTCCTTTTTCCTCCGAGACCACACACTTCTTCTCTCTCCACAGGGCACCGCAGGGACGCTTCTTTTTATTTTATCCCTCCTCTCTGTCTGGCTGTCTCTCTGTCTTCGCGCGAATAATGAAGAGGAGCCGACGATATCCACTCCAATTTCGCTGGCAGTGGCGGACTCTTGTCGCGGAGTGTTGGCGTCCGTGGCGACGGCACGGACACACACACACACAGGCTAGATTAGGACACTGACGTCGCGGCGACAACTCGGAGCGCCCCGTCTTACAGCAGTGGGCGACGCCGGCACGCGCGCCGTCCTGGCCGTCCTGTTCTTGGCCGCTCCGGGGACGCGAAACGCGGAGCACGCGAAGCGCGGCAAGCACGCGGACGGCGGGAAGACGGTCCGCGGACACTTGGCGCGGAACGCGACGCGGTACGCACGCCTCGCCTCGCCTCGCCTCTGCCCGCTCAGCACCGCGTCTCAGACTCGACTGCCTGGCTGGCCTGCCTGGCCGTGCGCCGTGCGGCCGCGGCGTGGCGCGGGGGGACCGCCTGCCTTGGCCTGCCTGGCGCGGCCGAGCGTCGCCCCCCTCCCCCTCGGGGTTGAGTTAGGCCCGCGCCTTCCAATCATTATCAGTTCACAGTGTAACGGTTCGTCGTCGCGAATCCGCGGCATGCGGGGGAAGGGCCCTGCCCCGCCTTCCTGGCTTTCATGTAAGATGCGGGAAGCCCTGCCAGGACGGCTCTGACTCAATGGCGCTGTCTATCTCGGGATGGCCCGTGAGTGCGAGAGAGGCAGAGCGACGAAAGCGACTCTCGGAATCAGTCTCACTCCGGATCAAGGCGAAGCGAGCCGCCGCGCTCGAGTGGCGCCCCGGAAGGGGCATTCCGCGGCGGACATGCCCTGCAGGGCCACCCTGGGGCCACCGCCGGGACGGCCGGGACCACCCCTCAGTGCGCCACTGCACTGCAAGGCGCCGCCCGAAATAGCGAGCACGGCGACGACCGCCACGCGCCGCCACCACGCCGAGGGCCTTGACGGGGAGGGTCGAGGAGCACGCCGAACGCCGTCCCGGGCCGTCCGGGGCCGTCCCGGTGGCGGCCGGGCGCTTTCCATGACAAGGCGGCCGTTTGTTGCGTAACGCTTAAATAGGCCGTTTTGCGGAACCAACTTGGAACGGCGCCACCGGGGCGCGTCGCGCGGCGCGTGGCCGGGCCGGCGACGACGCCGTGCCAGTTTGGCGGCCGCCGTGCGCCCCGGCGACGCCCCGGCGACGCCCTGACCCACCGCAACGTCCATCCCGGGGCGCCAGGGCGACGCCAGGGCCACAGCGCGCCGACCACCGCGACGGACGGGGACAGATGATCGCCGAGAGACCCGGGCCGGCCAGCAGGGCCAGCAGGGCCAGCAGACAGCCGGGAGATGGCGCACTCGCACGATAAATTGGAAACGTTCGACCTCGACACACGTGTGGACGCGCAGACACACTGGCTCTGGCGCCGCAGCGAGTCGCCATGTGTCGTCGTGCACGCCGCGGCCGTCCGTGGAGGCGACACGAAGACGCGGCACAGACGCCTTCAAGCTTCCTCCCACCAAACCAAGCCTCCGTGTCGCCGAAAAAATGAAACTGGTCGTCACTGGCAACAGTCAGAGGCAGGCAGCCAGCACGTTGCCGCTGGCAGCTCGCTCATTCCGAGAATTGGTTTCGTGGCTCTGTCTCTCTCGCACTCAGGGGGCACACCGTAGGTGAGAGAGACCGATGAAAACGACTCTCGGAATCAGTCTGGTATCGCGAGCAGAGGACCGCTGTGTTCCATTGCAAACACAGAAACGCGCCTTTCCAGCCCCGACCGCGTTTTTGCACCAACGACGCATTGTCCCGAGTATTTCGACGCAATTCACTGAAATGCCGCTGAATGCCGGGCGCCGCGCCGCCGAGCCCCAGCGGCCCCAGCCCCTGCTTTTACCATGCCCCCACCACTCCACCCACGCCTAGCCAGCCGCGGCGGCCGGCCCGGCCACCGCCGGCATGGGAACCAAAACAACCCATACAACACACACCTGCTTCCTGGACCCGACAATTTGACCCGTTTAAGTGTTTACAAACACGGCACGTTGCGAGGGGCGCAAAGCAGCAGAGAGCCAGCGAGCCGGCAGCACCCGCCAGGCTCTTTCAAGCTATTTCAAGCGGCCCGCGCTGCCAACGAGGAGAAGACAGTCCGCCACGCCGCCATGCCATCGGACCGATCGGGGAGCCCGGCCATGGCCCGGCCGGTCCGCGTGTCGATCACGGGCCTTGGGGACAAAGGGCTTCACCTTGATCACCACCGGCAAGGTGAGCAAACCGCCACACTGTGCCCCTGTGAGCAGACGGAAAGCGCTGCCCTCTGGATCCGCCACTGGCCCTGTGACGCGCGGTGACGCGCAGTGACGCGAGCGTGACGCGTCAGTGGCACGTCCCAGACACGCGCGGCGCGCCGTGGGGCCCGTGGGGCCCGTGGGGTCAGCGGGGCGACCCGCAGCCATCGGGGCGCCGCTGCAGATACGCCCCGAACACGACACTGCACTCCGCTGCAGCACTCGCTCCAGCGCCTGCAGGCAGTGCACAGGCAGTGCAGGCAGTGCAGGCAGTGCAGGCAGTGCAGGCTCCAGGCACCTCCAGGCAGGCCGCCACGCCGCGTTCCTGGAACGCTGGAACGCCGCAGCCACCTCGGCAAACAGTGCACACGCCCTGCGGCGCACCGCGGCGCACCGCACCCCCTTGACCCGGCCGCTATTTTCGGGCGGGACTTCCCCGTGCGAGCGACGAGGACGAACAGACAGGCAGGCCGGCAGGCAGACGGTCGGCCATATGGACATTCTCACAGACCCGCGCGTTGTATTGTTTTGCTCTTGCCCCAAAAGGGCTGCACTGAGGGGGCGGCGCCCCTCGCTTCCCGAAGACCCGAAGACGGCCAAGGTAAACACAGCGGCCTCCAGCCGTAGCGCACCCTTGCCCCGCCACGCCGGGCACGCCGAGGCTGGCGCGGCGGCCAAATCACTCACAGAGCCTCCCACTCACTCACACACTCACTGCGAGGTGAGAGAGCGGCCGTGCATCAGGTTTGACGAGATGACATCAATCTGTCGGCACGCGTGAGCACTGAGACACACGAAATCAATACTACGCGCGCGCACAGACGCACACATGCGCACAGACACACACACATACACACACACACAGATATACGCGCGCGAACAGGTTGTTCACGAGTACCTGTGCCACTTGCGACGACATGCATGCGTGCACTTGGGAATGCACACGTGTGTGTGCGCGCGTCTGAGTGTGTGCGTCTCTGCGTGCGTCTGTGTGCGTGCCGTGCATTCCACAGAGTCCCCCCCACCTCCTTGCCCACGGGGGAAAGGAAGATGACGAGAAAACACCTGCCTTTCCGCGACACTCGACTGGACATGACAAACAAACCAGCTTTTGCAGAGATTTACAGAGATAAAAACTTGCATTCAACTTTTTAAAAATTTTCCTTATTTTAAGATTTTGTGTTATTGAAGAGGAGAATCTTAACCCTAACTGCGTAGTCTCAAATGTGAGATAGCTGGAGTAGCATTTCAATCTGGTGCCGGCCGGAAGTGGGTAGAAACCCGGCCAGGAGAGGTCCTGGGTCCTGGGTGTGGCGGTCCGAGGCCAGGACGGCCAGGACGGCGTGCACTCGGACGAGTCAATATTTAACCCTATCCAGGCCACTCCGGCTGAGCCAGTCCCTCGGCCAAGCCCAGCCAAGCCGCTACACCGGCAGGAACGCTCGCCCAGTCGGGCCCAGTCGGGCCCAGCCGGCCAGGGCAAAGTCCAAGCTGTGACGCTGCCTTTGACACATACCCACAGAAAAACACGCACAAAGTTCCCCGGCGGCGGTAGCTTTTGAAACAATGCAGAGTCGACCTGCTACCCACACTGTTCACAGACCACCACAGAGCATGAATGAAGTTAACAGCTGCTGCTGCCACAACAAACAAGTCTATGTTGCGTCATTGAATGGGCAATAGACTCACTAGAACATCTCGGACATGAGACCAAAATATTGATTCTATGTCACTGAGTACCCCATGGAAACGCTTTGCTCCGGCAGAAAACATGGCTTAATATATGCTTGTTATCGTTCTTTTGTTGAAAATATGAATACCACAGAAATTTCATTCATTTTGAACAGAACAATAAATCTTACACAAGGTAAAGAAATGCACTGACACACTGGTGGTTGAGAACCAGTGTGGTTAAAATTATTTTTGACTCAAATTCATTATTTACAGTAAGACCAATCAATGTGCGACGGCACTGCACGATAATCATACATAACAACACGTTCTCAAGAAGAACCATTTCACCTAATGTTTGTTATGAAAATGTGTACTCACTTGTATTTCAAGCAGCAGTTCAGATTTGCGACGTCTTATATCAATAAGCATCTTCTGCTGCTCCGCAGTTAAATCTACAAAAATACAATAATATTTAAAAACAGACTTAAAACGAGCAAGGGGCAGAAGCTCTTTGTAATCTTCCAGAGTGAAAGAGCCTGTTACTTATTGTCTCCAATATAAACAGAACAAGGTAAGAATGAGAACACACAAAAAATGGGTTTTGAAACAGAGAAAGTTACAGCATTTTAAAAATCAAAAAGCCAATAAAAGTACAAAGGAAAATCAAAGTAAGATTAACTGTGTCTCCTTTAGAAGTATGCTAATAACAGGTTACCAAAGGGGAACTGTGTTCAGTGACAAAAAAAGAAAAAGTGACTCATTGTGGAAATGAAAGTTGCTTTGCACAAAAGCAGAGGCGTTAAAATACAGCAACAGTAATTCGAAATTACAGAGTTACGAATAAAGTAATTGACGGTGGCTCCGAAAATGACTAAAGGAGCCATGAGACGCATTACAATTTAAAAGTAAACATCTTCAGTATTGTACAGAGCGAGGTTAGGTTGTCAGACAATAACATTGACACTTCACACTTTAATACTCTTTTCGTGGTAACACACAGCATATTAAGCGGAATAATGAAAGGAACTTGAAAGATTTAAATAAAAATGATAACCCGAAACTAAGAAATGGGAATGAACATGACGTTTGAAACAATAAAAAGACAATAAATCATCAGCGTTCTTTCTTGGAAGAGCTCCGCGTAGCCTAGATTCCGCGGAAATGAATAACCAACAAACGATTTGAAACGAACCACTTATGTTAAAGGTTTCATTGTTGTGTGTATTGTTCATCTTCTACGCGTAAACAAAAAAATGCTCGTCACATGAACACAATTTTAAGAAAACATTTAAAACAGAAACATCACAACGGGGTTGTTTACTGACGCCATTTTTCAGAGC